AAGATGATTCCTTTGTTCACAAGGTATGCTTTTCCTGACTTAGTGTCCGAGAGCATCCGGATGTCTGTAATTCTTTGCTTTTTATTGTCTTGCAATTGTCCTAACTCTAAAATTCATTCCTCTAATTGTATTATTATTTTTATAACCATTTTATTATTTTAAAAATTTTAAAAACCAAGTGATTGGTGTTTTTCACACTCCCCACGTGGGCAGTGCCCAGCAGTGCCAGAGCACCAGGAGTGGGTGTCCCGTGGGCAGACGGAGCTGGGAGCGAGGTGTGCACAGCCAGCCCGGCTCTCCTGCAGCCCGGCTCAGGCACCCGGTAACTCACCCAGTGCCACCCCAGTTAACTCAGTGCCACCCTGGTAACTCACTCAGTGCCACCCCAGTTAACTCATTCAGTGCCACCCCAGTTAACTCAGTGCCACCCTGGTAACTTACTGAGTGCCACCCCCAGTTAACTCAGTGCCACCCCAGTAACTCACCCAGTGCCACCCCAGTTAACTCAGTGCCACCCTGGTAACTCACTCAGTGCCACCCCAGTTAACTCAGTGCCACCCGGTAACTCACTCAGTGCCACCCCAGTTAACTCAGTGCCACCCTGGTAACTCAGTGCCACCCCCAGTTAACTCACCCAGTGCCACCCCAGTAACTCACCCAGTGCCACCCCAGTAACTCACCCAGTGCCACCCCAGTTAACTCAGTGCCACCCGGTAACTCATTCAGTGCCACCCCCAGTTAACTCATTCAGTGCCACCCGGTAACTCAGTGCCACCCCGGTAACTCACTGAGTGCCATTACCCCCCAGTTAACTCACTCAGTGCCATCCCAGTTAACTCATTCAGTGCCATTCCCCAGTTAACTCACTCAGTGCCACCCCAGTTAACTCACTCAGTGCCACCCCAGTTAACTCACTCAGTGCCACCCTCAGTTAACTCATTCAATGCCATCCCCCCCAGCTCTGACCCAGGAGCACAAGGCACTTGTTCGCCCATCCTCGGAGAACAGATGTTCCGGGTGCTTAAAAAGAATCTGTTAATTTGCTGTGATTTACAACCGGTGCAATCTAAAAGCAGCTTCCCTGAGAGCTGCAGCACTCAGCCTCAGGAGCTCTCAGCTCATCGATCACCCGAGGGGAAATGTGCAGTTATTTTGATGTTAATCATCATATCCACCATCACAGGCTGACAAATGTCCCACGGAGAGTGAACAGCTGCTGCCTCCATCACCTCTCTGGAGACGAATCTAGGACCTGTTTTGTGCCATGAGACAGACAGACAGACAGACAGAGCTTGGGCAGCCACGGGCAGGGGCTCCCCCAGGAGAGCGATGGGAGGCACCAGCAGGTTTGGAAGTGGGTGATCCTGGAGGTCTTTGGGAGATCTGTCTGTGCTTGGTGCTGAGCACAGGCAGATCTTCTGGCTGCAAAATTTCTGGGCAAAAAAGACCCTTAATCCAAATCCAAAGGCACCACCCGCCTGTCTGCATCCCAATGGAGGAAAGGGAGGAATAGAATTATTAGAAGACACAAAAACACAGGAGATGCAGTTCTGGGAGCATGCAGAGGAGCTGTGAGAATCTGGGGGATTGGTGGGATGGTTTAGTAAATTTTATTTCTTGTCTGTTTTTCAGTGCAAACCACTTCACACTGGTCTGTTCTGTCAATATTTCACTATTAAATGTATTTTAAAACTAATCTCATTCCCTAATTGTTCTTCACTGTTTTGTGGGGTATTCTTGCCAGGAGAAGGGATCCTGGGAACGGCCCATGCTCTCCTTCCTCAGAAGCCATGGGGAACCTCCAGAGAGGAACGTGACAGGGGAGAAGGAGCATTGCCCAACTCAACAGCTGAGCCTGAGAGCTCTGTCAGGTGTTAATGACCCTGACCAGCCCCACCTGGGCCACCCCCCACTCCTGCAGCCCCATTTCAGCTCAGCTCTGGCCCTCAGCCTGTCCTGAGTGATGCTGCTGCCCCGGCCGCCCTGACTGCCCAGCTGGAGCTCCCCTGCTCCATCCCCACGGGGCGGCTGCTGGGCTGTGTCTGACCGTGGATCCCCCTCCAAATCGGGGCCCTGGGCTGCAGATTGGTTCCCTCAGGGCCTCAGCCCTGCTCCATCCCCATCAGCTTGCCCAGCGATCCCTCCTGGCCGAGCCTGGCCCCGGGGCCTGCCCTGCCCATCCCGGGAGCATCTCAGCTCCCAGTGCATCCCAGCAGAGCTGGGTGATGGAGGAACAGCAAGAGCAGCTCCAGGGCAGAGCTGCTCCCAGCTGTGGGTGGCCACAGGGCACTGCTCCCCCAAATTCAAGGGGCACAGGGTCAGTTCCAGAGCCACAAACACGCAGGGGCCTTGCCACGTGTGGCCAGAACATTTCTCTCCCTTTCAGGATTTTTCATAGAGGAGCACAGAGAGAAATGAAAGAGAAAACAATTTCTGTTTCTGCTCCTTGTTTTTCCTATGTGGAATGTGTTTGGAGAATTGTTTACCTGGGGTGAGTGCTTGGTTGGATTCTGGGGAGGATTGTTTGAGCCTGATGGCCAATCCAACCCACCTGGGGCTGGGCTCTCAGAGAGGGTCACGAGTTGTGTGAGAGTCAGAGAAAGTAGTATGTAGCTTTAGTGTCCTCCTTTTATATAGTATATTAATGTATTTTAGCATAGTTATAATAAAGAAATCATTCAGCTTTCTGAATTGAGTCAGACGTGGTCGTTTCTTCCCATTGGGTTCGCCTGCATTTCCAATAGCCACGCACCTGGGCTGCTGCTCCCACTCTGGTCCCACGCAGGATCTCAGCAGAACAAACATCCGTCCCCCCCAGATGAGAGAAAATTCTGGGTACCTCAAGCAGAGCCTGAATTCAGAGCTATCAGTTCCTTTATTGCTCAAGCTACAGGAATTTTGTCCTCTTAGGGCAGAAATCAGAGGATCAGGAAACACAGAAGGATTAGCTTAAGCCTCTTCCACTCCCATTAGCAATCTTATTTATCCTTTTAAATGGCTCCAGCAAAAGGAACACTTGAGTGCTGCCATGCCAGGATCCCATCTTCTGGGCCTGTTGGCTTTCAATTATCCACTTTACACATTTAGATCTTCAAACAAATCCCATCTCTTGTCTAGTAGCACCTGAGGGCATCTGATCTGTTTACTGAAACGTGGTCTACAGCAAATCTCTAGCAAAGTCTCAGGCGTTCTCACCACTAGATACTGATAGCTGTGTTTATTATGTTGGTTTATCTTCACACTTTACAACTAGCCAAGAGTTTATCCAATGGCCAGAACCATTGTCATTCCATGTCTTTAGCTTTTGCTTTTTCCCTAGTCACAAATTCACTACAAATTTGCTAATTCCCTAGCAAAGCTGGTTTTGCTTGGTTTTTTGGTTTTTTTTGTGAGTTAGGGGTGAGTGCAAGATTAGAAAACCCCAAAGGACATCAAAGCAGGTCAAGGAAAGGGTACATGGAGGGTGATGGACAATGTGATTTTCCAGTGTGAGGCCTGGCCTCACCCTTAGCACACTGGTCTCTGTACTTGTTTCCCTGGGGACAATTCCTGGTGGTCTCTGGTTCGTTTGGAGGTAGGTCCTGGAGCTCCAGAGAGCATCAGCAAGTCCCAGTCCCAGCTGTCAGTGCCCCCTCCCCAGCACATCCCTGTGACCCCAGTCCCTGGCACAGCCAGGCCCCCGAGCTCTCGGAGCCCCTCTGGGCTCTCAGCTTCGGGCAGCTGCCAAGGGCTTGTCCTGGGAGGAGCCCAGTGCCCACCCAGCCCACAAAGCCCCTCTTCCCCTGGGAGAAAGCAATCCCAGCTGGATCTGCTGCCACAGGGGGAATCCCCGAGCAGATCCTGGCACTGGCACTGAGGCTGCCCAGCACAAACACCCTGAGCTGGGCTGAACCTCCCGGTGGGGGGAACCCCAAGCCCACCCCACACCGAGGGGCTCAGGGCCTTTCTGCTGCACAAAAACATCTCTCCAGAGAGACAGGAGCAGTTCACAGCCCTGGCAGCTGAGTGTGGGACACGGGATGCTCTGGGAAATGCTCCTGGGGGCTCCGAGTGCCCCAGGGATATGGGATGTGGAGCTGTCCTGCTGCTCCTGTGGCTGTGAACTGCCAGAGGGCAGGGATGGATATTGGGAGTTGGGAATTGTTCCCTGGGAGGGTGGGCAGCCCTGGCACAGGGTGCCAGAGCAGCTGTGGCTGCCCCTGGATCCCTGGCAGTGCCCAAGGCCAGGCTGGACAGGGCTGGGAGCACCTGGGACAGTGGGAGGTGTCCCTGCCCACAGCCATGGAAGGGACTCAGTGTCCCTTCCAACCCAAACCATTCCATGGTTCTGTGGGATCCATCAGACACCCTGCTGGGATCCAGGTCACTTCCATGGATGTTTTCCCTCCTCACAACAGCAAATCAGCACTGGGGATGTCCCAGTCACAAGCTTGAAACACAGAAAACTCCAGACACTTTTTTTTTCCCCTAAAGGTTGTTTTATTGTAAAACCATAAATACAACACTGACATGAAAATCCTCAAGCAACGGATGCTTTCTTACAGTTACAGTTTGTCTTCTGCCTTGGCATCAATTCTGAAAAGAATGTTGCAGAAACATGTCTCTAAGGTATTTCCAAATAACCGAGCTCTGGCCTGGAGTGCTCGGCCCCTTTGGAAGCTAAGTGGAACTATTCCTCCTCTCTTGTGGAATATTTCCATTCAGACAGCAACAGACTTGTAAAAACAGCAACATTTAAACACCTTGATATTTTTTTTCTTTAATAATCCTTTTCATTTGACGTCAGTCTAAGTTTCAAACAGCACTGAATTTATTTAGCTGAAAAAAAACCCAAAACAAAACAAAAACAAAACAAAATCCTAAAAAGAAAAAAAAACCCTCAGAACTTGAGTTGGCCTCAAGCATTCGCATATCACAATGAAAATCAGCAACTCAACCCCGTGCAATATTGCTCTCTAGTGAGTCATTTGATCCACACCAACAATACATGAGACTTCAAACAGGTTTTGTTTTGTTTATTAACACAGCAAGTGTGACATTAGATAACCTTTTAAATACAGTACATGGTACAGCGCGGGGCCAGCTGCCCACACGCTTCCCGTTATGAAGACAAAGCCAGCGGTGGCGGTTTATAAAAATATTGTGTTGCTACAAAAGTATAAATTAATGCTACCGGTATTAAGAAATATTAAACACATAAAACTTATAAGGATTAAGAAAAATATTCATTAATACCTGTAGAAAACTCTGGCCTAAAAAAGATATTTTTTGTATATTTTTTGTATATTTTTTTTGTATTTTTTAAGATGACATGGTCGCACTCGCAGCGCGGGTGCTCTGTGGTATTGCCTAGAACATCTGCATCTACAGAAAGGAAGGAAATGCACACGAGTTACTGAGGGCAGGGAGGGCCAGGAGGGGCAGGAGAACATTAAATCCTTTGCTTGATGAAACAAGAATTCAGCTCCCAGGAGGAGGTTTGGGAAATGGAACGTACGAGCGAGGAACAGCTTCTCTTTTCAGAGTGGCTGCAAACAAGGATCTCCTGATGTTTGGTTGTCACCATGACACTGTCTGGCTACGGCGTGGACCACAATCCTCACGGCCTGGGCAGAGTGTTCCCCCCTGACAGCCTGGGCTGCCACCTGCCACCACTGTGCAGGTCATCTGCTACCAGCTTTCCTTGGAAGAATTCAAAAAAAGGAGTGTTAAAGTACCAGTGAGCTTCAAGGGACCATGGAAAACAGCTCCTAAAGCTGTTGCTCCTTCCAGAGCACGTCTCCTTCCTTGAGGGGGAAGGTCCTTCTACACAGCAAAGGGAAAAGTTACTCCTTCTCCCACCCCCGAACCCACTTGAAAAACCAATCCCAGCCTATCCACAGACACTGCAGAGACTGCCATGAGAACCCCCGGGAGTGAGAACAAGGATTCGAGGCCAGTGAGGCTGGAAGTGCCTTTTTCGGGAACTTTGGTTGTAAAAAGAAAGGGTTGGATGTGTCTGTGCTCATCAACTCCAGCCTATGATATTCCCATCTTTAAGCCTGAGCTGCTCATCTGGGTCCCACTGTCAGGGATACTACAGAAAATCCTGCCAGGCATCATTCCTTGTTTCAGGAGCCAAAACTTCCAACTCAGCTGCCTATGCATGAGGAACCCCTCAGGGTCTATGGGTACACCGTTGTCTATGTCAGCAAAACTCTCCTGTCGAGTTACAAACAAAGGACTCCTAACAGGAAAAAAACCTCATCTAAGCAGCTAAAATAAACCTGAAATTAAACAGAAATCCCACAAACATTCAATAGATAAAACTAAATTTCAGGGCAACCCACTCTCATTGGTTCACCATTTCTGGCCTAGCATAAGCAGACTGTCCCAGGCCTGTCCCCCGAGCTCAGCTGGGCTCAGGGTTTGCTCGGGGACACTTCCAGAAGCCCCAGGGAGGTGACAGAGCTGTGAGGGGACAGGTCCCACGCACAGGGAGCTCTTATTGCTACAGGGCCAGGGCCAGGTCTGACACGGGACACGGGGCCCAGCCGGTGGTTCTGGCATTCCCAGGGGATCCCACGGATCCCAGACCATGGTGTAGCACAGAAAAACTCCGCAGAAGCAGCCAGACATTGAACACCCTCCCCCACACTGATCTGACAGGACATTTGCTCCTCGACTGGCAGCTGCCCCTCCGCTGCCTCCCTCCCTGATGGAACCTGGCTGATGGATGCACTGAGAGCTGGCAAGGGCTTGGTGCTGGTGATGAGTGGGAGGATGGGGAGGAGAAGGTTCTGTGAACCCTCCTGGAGGGCTCTGGGCAGGAACCCGGCACTTCCCACCCCTACACCCAGTTCCTTTTTTCCTGGCAAGGTCCAGCCATGTGTCTCATGGAGTGAGCTCCACTCTGCAGCCTTGTCTTCAACAGCAGGGCTCAAAACACATTCCCCTCACAGACTCCTCCCAGAGGAACAGAGCTCTCCTCCCTGAAGAGATTTCCCAGAATCTGCCTTTAGTGTATTTTTTATTTTTCTCCCATTACTCCTAATTACTCCACAGGGAACAGCTTGTCCTTTCCTGTGTGAATGCTCACAGGAGCTCCTGCCTCTCTCTCAGCCAAGAGGTGCAGAGATCCAAGCCTCTCCTCAGCACAAAGCAGCACTCCCAGCCTTGGAGCACCTTCCTGGCTGCTCTTTTAATGTCTTTTGATTCATCAGTAACACGGTGCTGCCTAGAAATGCCCAGGGCACTGTGGGAGCAGCAGGAGGTTCCAGTCCCCTGTCCTGTGCTCGCCACGGCCAGAGTGGAACTGGCACCTCTGAGCAGACTCAGCCACCAGCACAAACATTTTTGGTAATTCCTTCCCATGCTAAACCTTCTGGGTTATTGCAGACAGTTGGAGAAAAGCCACCCAACCCACCTGAGCCACACCAGTGAACACTCCAATGCCACCATTTAGAGCTCAAGTCATTGCCAGAAGTGTCTCCCCTCAATTTTCAGTAATTTCCAAGTTCTGTGAGCATCTGCTGCAAATTCATTTGCAAAAGTCACATAAGGGTCATGACTCCCTGAGCTGCTGCTGGACGTAATTTCTGCCCAGCAAGCACAGATAAACCAGTGCAGGTGGTTTGTGTGGATGCTTAAACCAGTTCAGCTCAAAGTTAAACTGGCTTAACCAGCAATGAAGGAACAACTGAGTTAGACAAAACCTGAGCCCATAGTCAGCTTTCACAGAAAGTTTTGCAGATTGCACACTTCAAACCCACCCACAGCAGTTTCCTTAGCACAGACAGAGAGCTTGGACAGAAAGAGAAGTTCAGCTCCATCTCAATTTGACCCAGGTGCAAGACACCAAGTCCATCCTGCAAGCCAAACACAACAACTGCCCACTGAGAGACACAGGAGACAACTTCCTGACCTCCTGGCTGCTGCATCCACACAGAAACAACCTCCTGAAGAGCTCTGCCTCTATCCCACTCTCTTCAGTAGCAAGGATGCTCAGACAGGCCCTTCCCTCTTGGAGTTCACCTGGTGGTACTTGTTCCCCACCTGAAGGTCAGAATGCTCCCAGAGCAAACTGTGAAGCCAGGAGAGCCTGCAAGGTCAGCAGCAGGAACAGGGGGATGCCTGCAGGCCACACACCATTCCTGCACCCTGACACATTTCACACGGACATTAAAGGAAACCAACAAGCAGAAGGCAATTCCCAACATGACCCACCAGAGGATGATCCCAGTTCTGCAGACTTCTCCTCCCAACTCAAAGGGAGCAGAACCTCACAGCAGGCCTGGCCAAACTCGGAGCCTCTCCTGAGCAGTCTCCCACCCCAGGACCAGCAGAGCTCCCTACAACACCCCGGCCTCTCAGCCCTCTGGGGACCACAGAGCAGCCCGGGTTGGAGCAACCTGGCAAATAAGAGCTTCCAAATTTCAGACCTTGGTAAAGTATTTTTGTTCCCCAGAATGTGAATTCAAGCCTGGAAGAAGGAAGAGGAGGAAAAGCTTGGCATTTAAGATAAATGCATGTGCTACAGATGTGCTTCTCTGCTTTTACTGAGGCCTAAGTGACCCAGAGAGAACCTGGAGCAAGCCCAGCACAAACAGCTCCTCTGAGCTGCCCACCCTGCAACCACGTGCAAGAGTCAGGAAAAGCTGCACCTTCCTCCACTGAGTCTCTGGAGAAGGGGCTGCCCAAGCAGCCCCTCTCCTCACCACCTCTGAGAATGCTCTGGTTTAGGCCTTTAGGTTTTCTCTTGCTTTTCCAGCTGTTGAGTTTTTAAGTCTTTGGGAGAACCTCATTTGCCCGACATCACTGCTTAACACCCATCATTAGTGCAACCACAACCGAAATTGCCTCAGAGGGGCAGTTTTTGGGATGGGGGAGAGGGCCAGTCCATCCCTCTCTTTGGTCAGCACCACAAGAAAACCCCAGCTCTGGTGCCAAACCCACAGTGTGAGAAGGGAAAGGGGAGGTGGGATGGGAGGTAGGGGTGGCTGTGCCTTCCTGCATGCGTGCCCTCAGCCTGCACCACTGCTGGGCACAAATCCCTGCAGTTTGCCCAATTCTCAGTTCCAGGGATTTACAGCTGTGCTAACTGTCCTGCCCATTTCCTGTCCTAGATGCCTCGCAGAGACAGCAGGAGCCCGAGTTCACAAATTCCACAGAAATCATCTACATGTCCCTTAGCAAAGGAGGGCTGGGGGCTGGAGCTGTCTTTCCAAAGCAAGGGCTTTGCATGCTTCCCTGAGCATCAAAGAGCTCTCAGGGTCTCAGGTGAGCCACACAAAAAGGTGTAATGTGTCATTTGGAGGAGCTGCCAATCCTGATCCCTGTGCCATCAGCTGAGCTGTGTGGTACCCTCTGTGCCCACAGCTAATCCTGTTTGGAGACATGCACCAGCCAAGTTTTCCTGCTGTCAGGTACCAGAGTGGGCCAAGCACACATCTCAGTCCCTCAGGGCTCATTTTTGTCTGCCACAGGTTTCTCCTGCCCTGAAAACTCTGTGCTACCACTGGTGGCTGGGCAAGCAGGATTTGTACAGGACAAAACAAAACCAGCAAGAAGGAAAGCTGGCCCTACAAGCAACCCCTCCATCAGCCACTGACAGGGAAATCAGGAGTCCAAGAGCTCTGCCTTGGCAGCTCCTGTTCACGTAGCAGGTTGTGTGCCTTAGGCAAAAGTGTGACAGGTTAGGAGACAATGGTTTTGGTCTGATGGCAGTAACAGTGCTGAGAGGTCAACCCAAACACCAGCCTCAAGGCAATGAAAGGCTGAAAGGGCTGGAAAGGGCAAGACAGCTGGTGCCAAGGTTTGTCCTCGTGAGTCTAGCATGGGGAAGGGTCCAGCGTGCAAACTGTGCCCCTGAGTCCTGTGGCAGTGCAGGTGTCAGGGAGTGCCTGTGAGGTTCAAGGCATCTGCACACAAAGCCTGAGAGATTGGGTTTGCTATTTCTCATGTCTTGGAACTTGCGACTTCTCTTACAGCCAGAGCTGGGCAGGTGGGATCCTGGTTTAACATCTGGTCAACAGCAGCACTGCAGAGAGGGTCTCCAGTTTCCCCCTGCATTGCCAGCCAGCAGCAAACTCCCCGTGCTGCTGAAGGGCTCCAGCCGGCTCTCAGCAGGGCCAGTCCCTCCTCCCAACCCTCCCACACCACTGGGACAACAGCTCCAGAGCTCCTGGAAGCAGGAGAGACTGCTGAAGAAAGAATTTGCTTCTCTTTTCCTCCAGGAGACAAGTCCCAGCAGTGAAAAATGCAGAGTTTGGCAGCAGAGGTTGGGAATTGTCCAAGAGGCACCAAACCTGACAGAGCCTGTCCAGCAGCCCAGGAGCTGTGCCTGCAGGAGCTCTGGCCTTGGGGACAGCAGAGTGACCGAGATGCTTTGGGGTTATGGGGATCTCTAATTGCATTTGGGGTGAGCCAGCTACATGTGAACATTTCAGGGCTCGTGGCCTTCCTGGCCAGAATAGGTCAGCAACAGAACAAGTAGTGTAATGCACTGTAGGTATCAAAAAGACATTCGTGCCACTAGAGGAAACCATTCCAAACAAAAAGGGGAAGATATTCTTTGCACTCAATCAGGAGCACTTACATTCAGAAGGATCTTTGAGCCCATGCACTTCTCTAAGCTTCCTTCAAACCCCAGTTTGACAAAACTGGTGAGCTTTGTTCCCCTGAAAAATCATACACCTTGGTTTGTCCTTGGCCTTGGGAAGGGTGGTTTGTGTGTCATTGAGACACTTTTTAACAAAAATATTTAGGTACAAGGGTTCTCTGGCAGACCTGGCAAGCTCAGTGGTGGCCCACAGCCACTTGTGCTGTCACCATTTGCTTTTCCTGGTTTCTAGGCTTTGCCACATAAACAACTGCTGTGGTTCCCATAAGAATATTATTTAATTGCAAATGGGCTACTCTAGAACAAGTTTGAGAACACCTGATGTACAAAATTCACAGAAAAGATAATAAACACCGGGAGTTCAGAAGAAGTTCTGCTGTAAAAAAATATAAAGCCAAGAAACGTAACAACTACTGACAGTTTCTGCCATGAGCCATTTCTCTTAGTTTGAAATCAAACTTATAAATCACTTGCTGCCATGTTAAACTCAAGACTGGGAATAGAGACAGAGGAGTAACTTTTCTTTTGAAAAAAAAAGAAAAAAAGGATATGGAAAGGTTAAAAATAAAATTAAGAATCAAAAACCTTAAAGCCTCCCTTCCTGATTTCTAAATATACCGGTGTTGATGGAACACAGCTGCCCTGATTCACACACCATGCCAAGAAGGCTGCAGCCAAGTGCCCTCAAGGTGTACAGTTATTCAAAGGAGCAAAGTCCAGTGCAGAACTGGTCTGGTCAATGGAGTCTGATTATCCATGGCAAGATGGCCCAGGGGACAAGAGGAAAGGTGGGGTGGAGGAGAAACAAAAGAAACTTCAAGTCACTTTAGATCTCAGCTGCCTGAAGACTTTAGAACATCAGCCTCCCATTCGTCTGCCCACTTGAAAACATTAAAAAGTCTGTCAAGTCCACACACTATCTATGGAAAGGAGCACATTCCTGGCAGAGGGCTGTCTCTCTCCTGTGCTCAGCTTTCCTTTCAAACTTAATTTTATATATATTTATATTTTTATATATATATAAAAAAGCACTTGGTTTCCAGGGGCATTCATAATGAGGTCCACAGTGTTTAGAACTTAAATTTCTTTTTCTTTGTTTGGAACAGTGTTTTAAAGTTTTGTTTTAATTAAAAGAAAGTCTTAAAGCATGTTGGACTTCAAAAACATGAGTTTGTTCATGTCTTCTGGACTGAGTAGCCGCCTCCTTTTGATCAAGAGCGCCTGCTCACACATATTTACACATTCGCTCCTGGCACCCACAGCAGGCACTGCTAAGAGCCAAAAGGCCAGCTTGGCTAGTTTCGTATGCTTTTGGGTAACACACGACCAGTACTGAAACAGGTCAGGGGTGGCCTGGAAGAGAGGTTCTTGCAAATAATCATAGACTTCACTTTTCCCAAACCAATCTTCTTCCTGAGCTGCTGTGGCCTCCCCTGCTGCACGAGGCTTCTTGGTTGAAGGTTCAAATTCTGCTTCTTCTGCCCAGGACTCTTTGACCTCGTTGATCAGCTCACAGACCTTGCCAATGATCTCTTCATGCTGGTAGGGCGGGACGGGCCGCAGCTTCTGCTGAGGGTCCAAGATCATGGCTACCTTGTGTGCCGAGTGAACTTTGAAGTTCTCCTTCAGCGCCTCCAAGAAGAGGTGACAGAGTTTGCTGACCACACCAGCATCATTGGCTTTGGAAGTGAACAGTTTCTCCAGTTTGACGTAGGTGGGCAGCACCAGCTGCAGCGTGGGCCGGCTCTCGTTGCTCAGCTCGATCACGGCCTGTTTCACCGGCGCCAGGATGGCTGCCAGGTTGCTGAGCAGGTGTTTGTTCAGGTTTTGGATGAGGTTCATCTTCTTGGCCCTGCTGTAGAACTCGCAGATCTGCTCGTAGCGCTCGTGGACGAGCAGCAGGGAGTCGGTGACCGAGTTCCAGCAGGGTGGGGGGGAGGTCTCTTCCAGGGAGCCAAAGGTCTCCTTTGAGAGGCCCGTGGACCCCGCCAGGTCTTCACAGACATTCAGGAGCTCGATCACCTCGTGCATGTTGCGAGCCTGTAGCGTTCTCTTGTTGAGCACGCTCTGCACCACCGAGTTCAAGGCACAGGCCGAGCAGCGCAGGCACATGCCCGCCTTGGAGAACGCCGAGGAGTTGACCTTGCAGTCCGTCACGTACACCGTCCTGATCTCCGACATCACAAACTCCGACAGCACGTTCTGCACCCAGTGGTGGATAAAATCACCATTGTCTCGAATGTCTACGCCCTTAATGCCCAGGACGTAGCTCTTGATGTGGTTGCCTTCCACCTGGTAGGCGGTGAGGATGTAGCAGGAGTCGGGGCCGACGCTCTGCGAGTGGCAGGTGACCCCGATGCCGAGGCAGGCGTTGCTGCCCAGGGCACAGGTGACTTTCACCTTCACCTGGTTGTACATCCGAGGCAGGTGCTTCAGAGCCAGGGTGTTGAAGTTGCCCAGGATCTCGGTGACAGAGAAGGCACCGTAGCGAGCCCCGCTGTCCACCAGCGTCTGCGCCAGCTTGATGAACTCCTTGCCGCTGAGCACGCTGAGCGCGCCCAGGTCGGTGCACATCACGCGCAGCAGCCTCTCGGCGATGTTCTGCCGCTCCTTCTCCGGGATCGCGCTGTTCCCCAGGGAGCCGCTCGCCGCCGCTGCAGGGAAACACGAGCGGGCACAGAAAGGGCCACGTCAGCACCGCCGCAGCAGGAGAGGGCACGAGGCACAAAACCGTTCTCAGAGAGCCCCAGAGAGGTGCAGCGTGCCCAGATGATGGAAGAGAAATCCAACCTTGGATTTGCTCCCCCAAGGTTTCTGGACTGAGGAACCTCCAGAGACAGGCCTTGCTCCTGCTCTGAACAGCAGGGAGCGGATCTGCATCCTGTCCCTGGTGTGGGGATAGTCACTACTCGGCCCAGATGGAAAGATGGACATCACAGATTCCCAGACTGCTTTGTGTTGGAAGGGACATTAAAACCCACCCAGTGCCACCCCCTGTCACGGGCAGGGACAACTTCCACTATCCCAAGATGCTCCAAGCCTTGTCCAACCTGGCCCTGGACACTTCCAGGAATCCAGAGGCTGCACAGCTGCTCTGGGCACCTGTGCCTATGTCACACCATGATGACTGGATTTGTTTTTTAACTCCAGGCCAGAAAGTCTGACCTTGGATCAGAAGTTACATTCTTCCAGGAGTTACCAAATGCATCTTCCTCACCAACATTTCCAACCACCTCAGGGCTCTTTGTTGCACTCCTGTAGTGGGAAGGGATGCTCTGCTCTGCCAGCTAGGACATGAATTAAGGGGACGTCAAATACAGTTTGGTGAGGACAACGGCCTTGTGCAGTGCCCAGCACTGCTGCACCCCTGAGGCACTTGTTGGACAGGGACAAAGTGAGAAGCTGTTACATACTGTTGTTGGCATTATTTCTTTGGAGCTGTGGTTTCCACTTTTCTTCAACCATGGGGAGAGGTGACCTGGGCTGCTGGCTGGAAGCAATGTTGTTCTCATTGTCAGCTGCGAGGCAAGAGACAGGGAGGGGTTAAAAAGCACAAAATAATGCTTAAAGCACAAAGAAGCAGAAACTACTCAACTGCTCAGCATTTACGTAGAGCTCCTTTAACTAAGGGGACAACAACCCACCACACTCTCTGTGGCTTTTAGGCAGCTTTCAGTGAGCTCGCACAGCACCCTCAGGGACCTTGAAACTGTCTTTGGACTCACAACCTATCACTTCCCAAAATGTGGCTGAAATGTGCCACGTGTCTTTCTGTGCACCAGGGACATTGATACCATCAGCACACCCTGAAGAATGTCTCCTCAGGAGCTGAAGCTGCACACCACGAGGAATGGAAGCTCAGCCTGACTTGGGCCATACATTTGCTTTCCAAAATGAGGTGGAACAGACACTGATCCTTCTGTTCCCTCCCTGCCTCTCCCTGCACTGCAGGTGGCTGCCCTGTTCTCTCTGGGGAGCACTTTGGTTTTCAAGCTGTGCTCAGCTCCTCTGGATCTAAGGGTCTCACTGCAAACTTCACATCTGGTTTCTTCCCCTTGAAGAGCAAGGCTCCATCTCCTCTGGGGCTCTCACTGCTGCCTCAGGCTGTAAACACAAAGCCAAAGTCTCTGGAGTGTGGACCAAAGACCTTCCCACCCTGAGGCTGCAGACACCATGTGCCCCCAAAGTCTTTGTGTTTGTGCCCCCATTTCTGTGTATGTAACTGGGTGAAACATTTTGGCTGCCAGTCTGATGGGATCTTACAAGAAAATGCAAGCAAGATCAGTAAAGTCTGTATTGTATCCATGTTTTCCTCTCCTGTGCCCCAAGAATTTCTCCCCACCCTCCAGAGGAAATTTTCTAGTTCTTAGTGTGCTTCAGTACGAAATGGTGCTGTGAAACAGGCAGTGAAGGAACAGTGCACAATGAAATGGGCTGGAAGAGGAAGCAGAAAGATGGAGAGACTGATGACCAGGCTGAGCAGGATGGAAACAAAACCAAGGAAAGCAGAACAGAACATTTGCTCATCACAGCTGGACTCATCACACCTAATTCTGGACACCTGTCAGACACACCTCTCTTTGAGGTGGTCCATTAGGGCTCCTTTTACACTCAGGGGTGCCACTCCTTCACCCAGGCAGAATTGGATCCTCTCCTAGAGTGAGAACCACCATGGTGAGAACCACCTGAACTCACCTGAAGTCACTGACTCTGCAGTGATTTTACAGGGAGTGCAAACTGCCCAGCTCTGGGCAGAAAACCCCGAGTTGGAGCAGTGCCTTGAGGCACCCACAGCTCTGCCAGGCTGCTCTGGGACGCCAGCAGGACACACAGGACAGGGCAGAGCTGCTCTCCTCCATGTGAGCCAGCAACCCGGGAGAGCAGGGAGAGCAGCAGGGCTGTGATGGAGCTCCAGTGCTCTCCTCCTTACCAGTCCTCTCCAGTGTGAGCAGCTCTGCCCTCCACTGCCAGGCACTCCAGACCTGCCCATCAACAGGTACAGGCTGCTCAGCCACCTGTGGGCACTCCACTGGCACAGGCTGGGCCAATCCCTCAGAGCAATCCAGGACACGACCCAGGACAGCCTCTGGCACTGCCTGGGGCCTGTGTGTGCCCGGGGAGCTCCCTGGCCATGCTGGGTACCCAGGGAGTGCTGCCATGCCCAGGCTGCAGCCACAGGTTGGCTCTGCAGGTGTGCAGAGATGTGAAGAGCACGAGGTGCCTCAGAGGGCACCAGTGACCAGGTGTGACACATCACCTTTCCCCCAGCATCTGCCAGAATAATTGCTCTTGAGCCAATGTCACCAGTGTCCTCGACTCCACACATCTGTGGTGAGTAAAGGAAAATGCTGGATGTTGCCTACTAACTTTGCTCATGGTTCAGGTCCTCCTTATCTTGCTGAGGGATGGATAGGGGGAGAAACCCCCTGCACTTCCTCATCATAACTCTTTTATCTATTTCCTAATAATAGGGGATTTATTATATACAAATATCTGCTGGCATTCAGTGTGGCATTAATGAGATCTGTACATTTCAGCCTCATCTTCCTTATCAGGCAGTCTGTGAACCATACAGATCATGGTTCTTAATTTTTCTTCATGCCTCCAATCCTTTAATCCAGGTTCAGCCTAGTCCTCTTTTTGTTTTTTTTAGGCCTAGATTGTAGGAAGGGCATTATATGGCAGCACTCGACCTGAACAAAGTACTCTAAAGGGAGTCAAAGCTGTATATTGTTCAGTGTAATTACAGAACAAATTCCTCTGCCTGGTGTTCTGCTGTTCTATTTCTGCCTTTCAGCACCCAATTTACATTCTAATTGCTTCTCCTCACTGTGTAACTGCTTTATGAAGCTATAATCTCTCCTTATTACCTTCCAGCCTCTGGGCTCAGCCCTCTGAATGACTCAAGAGCCAGTATGTCCCTGATTTTGCTTCTGGAGGCCAGCAGCACGTTCCCTGGCTTCTGTCCCTCGTGAGAAGGGTCCAGGGGAGGCAGCACAACCACTGGAAGAGATCAGCCCTTTGCATTAGACAGGACAAACCAAACTGGGCTGCTGAACACATGAACTGAGGGAGCATTTGATCCATACTGACTTCTTGGCTCTCTGCACCCCCGTTATGAAACATTCCTGACCAGGGACAAACCACTGCCATGCCTGAATCCCCAGTCCCTGCATCCTGTGCCACCAGTTCTGCTGACCACTGCAAGGTCCCTGCACTCCCAGACTTCAGAGATGTTGGAGCAATGCTGTTTCTTGGATATGGAAATCCCAGAATCCCAGACTTGTTTAGGCTGGAAAAGACCTCCAAGATCATCCAGTCCAGCCATCAGCCCAGCCCAACACCACATTCCCCACTAAGCCATGTCCCCAAATGCCACATCCACGTGTTCTCTGAGCACTCCCAGGGATGGTGACTCCACCCCAAGCTCAGGGTGCTTGAGAACCTTTCTAATGTAAACCTCCCCTGGAACAACCTGAGGACATCTCCTCTTGCCCTTGTCAGTTGTTCCCTGTGAAAAGCCACGGATTGTCACCTCACCACAACCTCCTGCCAGCCTGAAGGCAACAAAGTGCTGCCAGGGCACCTGCAGGCCCTGAGTGCAGAACCCCAGAGCTGGACACCCACCAACGCTGGCCACGGTGCTCCTGCCTCTGTTTTGGCTTTGCCCTCATCACACAGCAGCAAACGCCAGCGCCACCCCAGCTGCACACGGGGAGGGAGGGAGGGGAAGAGTGAGCACAGGGCTGCCGTGCCCCGAGAGGGCACAGGAGGGGACAGTGGCTCACACAGGGCACAGCCTCGGTGGCACTGCAGAAAGCAGCTGAAGAAGACACGGACACCCTCGCTGTCACTGCACCAGTGAGACTTCAGGAGGAGGCAGCCAGGCAGAGGATGGGACTTGCAAACACAGCAGGGAACAATGAGAAAACAGAGTTTACCAAGAGACTCCTGGGCTGGGCAGAGGGGATTTACCCATCCACTGATGTGACAGGACCCCAGTCACAGATACTGCTCCCTCCACCCTGTTCTCTGGCCAAAGTAACCCAGGTGAACAACCACAGGATCACAGACTGGTTTGGGTGGGAAGGGACCTTAAAGCCCAGCCAGTCCCACCCTTGCCATGGCAGAGACACCTTCCACTGTCCCAGGCTGCTCCAAGCCCCAGTGTCCAACCTGGCCTGGGACACTTCCAGGGATCCAGGGGCAGCCACAGCTTCCCTGGGAACCCTGTGCCAGGGCCTGCCCACCCTCACCCAGAGCCCTCAGCACCACACCCATGGGTCATTTGTAAAGAAGAAACAAGGAGGAAGCTGCAGGTAGCACTAGTTTAAAACATGCAACAGCTCAATCCTCAGTGAGCTGCCCCTGTCCCCTCAGCTCCTGTGCTTGGTGTCACCAGAGCTGTAACTCAAAATGCTGCATTTCAGTACCAGAGCCCAGGGCAAGAACAGCACGGTCAGGACACAGCGTGGAGGCAGCAGAACTGCCATGGACAACCAGCAGGGACAGACCCACGGCCAGGGAGTGAGGGCAGCCCTGGCCTGAGCAGAGTCCTCTGCTCCTCAGGGTAACACAGAGTCCCACTACTGCACAGAACCCCCGTGCTCTACCAGAAACACCAACTCACACCTTCTGCCACAAAGCGCTCTCAAAGTCTCTGTGTGACATCACACAAATGATAAATAAAGCACTGCTGAACACACAAAACCTGCACTAAGATTTGCCAGCAGGAGCTGAAATGGAATAAAGGAACCTCATGGATGAAGAACTCAAGTGACACTATTAAAATTAGGACTAAAACTAAAATAGAGAGCAAGATAAGAATTTTGATTAACATTATTACAGAAAGGAAAATATGCTTTTCCTCAAGCCTCTTGTCCTCCCATTACACTTTCCTCACAGCCTGCACTGCATTTTCATCTGCATCTCAACAGAGCAGCTATCTGTTGGAAAACACAGGTCTGTCAAAGAGGATTTAATTGTTCTTAAAACTGTGTTAGTTCACTTGAATTTTTATTCAAGAGGAAAAAAAAAGAAAAAAAAAAACCTGCCAATATAAAATGAATGCTGTTTCTACATTTTTGGATATGTTGAGTGCTGTCTTTGAAGCAGATTTGGCTTTGAAATTTTAAGATCATCTCTTATGTATCAAGACAGGAAACAAAAACAGTGACTTAGAAACAAAGCACTGGAATGACTCTTAAGAATTCTCATTTGTAGTTAGCTGAGAGGGAGCTGAACACAGCTGCTGAAATGGCAAATTCTTCTTTTCAGAACATATTTCAGTCCTTTGCAGAACTCCAGGAGACACAGGCACAGGACAGGACTTGTGTGGGCAAAGGCTCTGCTGCCTTGCTCCATGAGAGCCACCCCTTTGGCACGAGGGGGGATTTAACCTGCTGTAGGAGCTTATGCAATGAAGAGTCTCTGGCTAGCTCTGGATAAAGGCAATGAACAGTGTGATGGACTCTGAGCTAGCATGGCACATCCCCTCTCTCCCTGCAGAAAGGAGCAATATTTACAATATACCCTGAGCCTATGTGCTCCAGCCTTTGAGGGATGACTGTGCTTGTTGCAGGTGAAATGACTGGGGCTGTGGGAATGGGGAGCACTGGGAACCCTACAGACACACATTGGGGTCAGCACCAGGCAGCAGCACAGAATTTAATTCTCTGCTTGCAGTCAAAGTGCCCAGCTTACCTGCGTGGGACTGCATGTGCTCCAGGAGATTGTTATAAAACTGGAACTGGATTCCACAAGCTCCACAGGTGTAAGGCTCTGTTTGGGAGAAATCAGTTCAGAAGAATTACACAGAGTCTGCAGGGAAGCAGCACAGGTGCATACCTCAGTGTGTAAGCTGTGGGCACAGCGGCTCCGCAGGGAGCGGGGCAGGGCCCGGGCACGGCTCTGCCCCTGGGCTGGGCTGGGCTGGGCACCTCCTGCTGCTGCCCTTCACTGCCAGGGCACAGGAGAGCACTACAGCAAGCACCTGCTGTGTGTGTGGGCATCTCAGGGACCTGCACAAGGCTTTCTCCAGGAGTTGCCCACTGGCCAGGCTCTGCTGGCCCAGGCTGCTGCAGCCTGCCTTGAGTGTATTCCTGCTGGTTTTGTGCCTGTGATTAAAGCCTGGTGGACTCATCTTCCATCCAGTTCTGTCTGATTCCAGTGTCTGCTGCCTTTCCTGAGTGAGACAAGGAGCACTGGCTTGTGACAAGTGCTGTAGTCAGAGGCTGGAGCAGTGCCACGGGGAACTCAGCCGGGGCTTTGTGGCTGTCACCAAGTGCAGTGGGACCAGGGACTGGTGGGTGCCACAGGGCTGGGTGGCAGCAGGATGCCAGGGAGGCAGAGGTGAAGGACAGGAAGCACAGGAACCAGGCCTGTGCCTGAAGGCTGAGAGCAGAGCAGGGGAGCCACGTGCCAGAGCAATATGGACGAGCTGGAGTGAGGAAAGGGCTGGGTGCAGAGCTCCCTCGTGAGCTGAAATACACATTTAGCCCTGTTTTAAGTTGAAAGTGCATTTCTTCCACTGAATCAACCTAAAAGCAAATGTTTCCAGTTGCCTGTCTAAACAGTATCAGTATAGTGCATTGGTTGACAGATGTGATCTCAAACTACAGTGCTGAAATTTGGGAACACTGGAATTTGCTTCTGTCCCTGCAGCCACACCAGCACTGCCACCTCTCACTGGGGCATTTTGTCCTGGAGCAGCAGAGCGGAACAAACACGTGCCATACCAACAATTTTGGATACAAAAGCCTGGCACAGGCACGGAGCAGGGTCTATTGCTACAATATTTCAGAAGTCTAGCTCTGAGTTGGAAGAGAAAAACGTATTTGTATCAATGAATAAGCAGAAGCAACAGCACCCAGGAAAAGGAGCCAAAACCCAGGGGAGCACAAGGCTGCCTATACCTTGTGAGAAGTCTATCTCAGGGAGCAAACCCCAGAATCCACCTCAAGGCTACAGAAATCGGTGAGGAAAAACATAAAAGAGAGCACGAGCAAGTCTGTGTAAGCTGTACTTTTATACTGTGAGGTTAAACCTTTCCCACAGAATGTACAGCCTCTGGAATGATGGAGCCAACTCTGCCTGGAGTTGTGCTCAATGCTTTCACTCACTGTGTCTGCTTGTGATGCTACTCCTGGAAGTATGGAAGTTTGGAAATTCGGTACTTAAGTAACAGTGCTTGTGGAAAAAAGAGAAGACTCGGACAGCTGAGTGGCACACAGGGATTTTAGTCCTTGGGAATTAACAGGGACTGGCTGTGTCTTCTGAAATCATCAGTAGTGTGGTGGTACAATGCAATCTAATTGTTCAGACTTATTTTTAATTGTCAGAGAGGAGAAGGCTCCCTGTGGGTCCAGACCATCCCTCTTGGGCTTGTATTTCAATGCCAAAGCCCTGTGTTACACTGACACACCTGTGCCTCTGCTGGAGCCCAGCCTGCTCAGACGGAAACCTCAAACTGAGGGGGTCTGACTGCTCCTTCAAGGGTCAAAATTAACATGAGAATAACCCAATGAAAGCAGGCACACTTCTGAGAGCCTGCTGACTGCTGCTGACAGCTCGGAAGAGCTGTGACCCTGTCTCTGCCCCTCTGCTCTGCTGGAGAACAGATGCTGCTGTACCTCAGTGCTGCAGCAAGCTGCCAGCTGCAGGTGTCACCCTGCAGTCCCCTGGGCACTGCCAGCCCTGTGTGCCACTCTCACCTCAGCAGCCAGCTGCACTCCCTTCTGCCAGCCCTGTGTGCCACTCTCACCTCAGCAGCCAGCTGCACTCCCTTCTGCCAGCCCTGCCTGCAGTGCAGAGGAGCAGGCAGTGGGGCAAGCCCCGCTCACCACTGCGGTCCCAGGGCCCTTCTCTGCCCCCACACAAGCCCCCAGCTGCCCTGGGAGCAGCTGCACAGCTCAGCACAGCTCAGCACAGCACAGCTCAGCTCAGCTCAGCACAGCTCAGCACAGCACAGCTCAGCTCAGCTCAGCACAGCACAGCACAGCACAGCTCAGCACAGCACAGCTCAGCACAGCTCAGCACAGCACAGCTCAGCTCAGCTCAGCTCAGCTCAGCACAGCTCAGCTCAGCTCAGCACAGCTCAGCTCAGCACAGCACAGCACAGCACAGCTCAGCACAGCACAGCTCAGCTCAGCTCAGCTCAGCTCAGCACAGCTCAGCACAGCACAGCTCAGCTCAGCACAGCTCAGCACAGCTCAGCTCAGCACAGCTCAGCACAGCACAGCTCAGCTCAGCACAGCTCAGCTCAGCTCAGCTCAGCTCAGCACAGCTCAGCACAGCACAGCACAGCACAGCTCAGCTCAGCACAGCTCAGCTCAGCTCAGCTCAGCTCAGCACAGCACAGCTCAGCTCAGCACAGTTCAGCACAGCACAGCTCAGCTCAGCACAGCTCAGCTCAGCTCAGCTCAGCTCAGCACAGCACAGCTCAGCTCAGCACAGCACAGCTCAGCACAGCACAGCTCAGCACAGCACAGCTCAGCTCAGCACAGCTCAGCTCAGCTCAGCTCAGCACAGCTCAGCTCAGCTCAGCTCAGCTCAGCTCAGCTCAGCTCAGCACAGCTCAGCTCAGCTCAGCTCAGCTCAGCTCAGCTCTTCCCCAGCTCAGGTCCAGCCTCAGCAGCAGGCAGAGCCCCACATCAGCCAGCACTCTCCAAGCTGCACATTTCCCACACTCCTTTTGCTCTGTTTCACTCGTACTTCCTTCTCAGCTCACTTTGTCTCCCTGAGCTGCTTCACCTCCCTCCTCCTGTACTCTCAGCTATTTTATCAGCACAAACCTGTGCTATTTTTTTAGCTATCTCCTTGCCTGGCTCCCCCTCGCCCTGCCCAGTCTCTTCTGGGTCCTCCCATCTGCATCCAGCAGGCTGTGACCAGCAGGGTCTCCACAGCTCTTCATCTCAAGCTCCTCCCTTTGGTACCACAAATCTCTGGATGCTCAGTGCACTCAGTGAATTGGTAAAATCTCTCATTTGTGATTCTTCTCAGAGAAGTGTTGATTTTCTTCTCAGTTGCAAAAGATACCCCTTCTGTTCTACTCCAGAAATGTCCAAATTTGGAAACAAAATCACCACCTATTTCAAAAGCTAATTTCATGTTCTGAAAATTCCAAAGCATTATCTAAATAATTCTGAGACAAAGACAGACACAAGTAAGTTTATCAAAAAAAGAAAAAAAAAGAAAAAATAAAAAAGAAAAAGAAAAAGAAAAAAGAGCCACATTAAAAATAAGCAAAAAATTTAAATACATCCAACAATTCCAAAGCATTACCGGGACCAGGGGAAGGGATGCTTGGGAGGATGTGCAGAATCCCCATGGGAATGAATGAACTGACTTCACTTCCCAGAGCTCTCTCAACCCTCATCCTTCTGAGCTTTCAGCTCCCGAGCCCCTCATGCTCCAAAGTGCAGAGCTGGGAACAGTCAGGCTGGCTGGAGGAAGGGTGGGATGTGCCAGGGCTAGAAGAGGAAGAGGGATCTGGAAGGTGGTGAGAAAAAAGAGGCAATCTGTATCCTAAACCAGGGAAAAGTCAGTTAACCTGGGCTGGTAATCCAGTAATTCCTCTTCCCTTTGATTTCTCTTGACCATGAACAGGAAAAGTTGCCCAAACTGCTCTGCATGTCCATCTGAGCCACACCTGTGCCCCATTCTCCTTCTCTCCTACCACTGCTGGACCTCTGCTTGTCCTTCCCCCTAGGAATTTCAGCTCTTCCTTACTCAGCCTTAGGGATCTTTTCTCCTTCAGGTGGGCTGAGCTCAGCAAAGGGCCCCAGGTCTCCTCTTTTGCTCTCTGTCTGTCTGCTCCCTGCTGCTGTGGCACAAGGGATGCTTGTCTGCCCACCTGAGCCCCCTGTGCTTGTGGAGGTGCTTTCTGAGAGCAGGTTTCAACCAGCAGCTGTTGAAACCTCTTCAGTGTCCTGGGCCACACAGAACTAATGCTCACATCTGGTTGCACAATTTAAAACATCTTTCCCCAAGGCTATAATTAGACACTTTTAGTAGTGCTTTACCCAGTGAGCAAGGCTCCAGAGCAAGGCAGCAGCTGTGTGAGGCAAGGCAGAGGAAAACCAGTGCCTGTGCTTAGGTTAAATAAATCACTCTAATTCCCATGTTAACTCTCATTGCCACATCTAAGCCAGGGAAAATAGCAGAGCTTGGTCTGAAGCCAGGAGTGAACAGGAGTTGAGAGCTTTAACAGAAAGTTTCAGCAAGTGCCCTGAGGTGCCTGTGCAGTGACAGACACCCAGCATGGTGTCACCATGGCTCAACAGGGATAGCCCCCCAGGCTGCTCTTTCCTCAGCAGAAAAACCCACATTTCAACACTTCTGTCCACATCTTGGTGAAAACCAAATGGAGAACAACTGTGAGGAAAACTTCTCAGCATTTCCACCCAATGTTTCCATTGGCTTTAGCTTTACTAGCAGTGTAATTGCACCTTCCCTTTGACACAAACCCATGAGACAAGGCAGGCGAACCAGCAGCAGGCTCCTACAAAAACACCAGCACACCCACCAAATCAGTGGAAGTTTCTTGAAAACAGAACTTCTGTCATTTCCAGCCAGATCAAACAGTAAGAGGTAACAAGGTGCTCTGGAGTATGTTTGGAAAAAGGGAGTCCCAAATTCACCACCCTTGTCAAACATCTTGGCATTAATTGGATTTCTCTTCCTGCATGAGCTAGTGCTCTGAATAAAGCCCTTGCTTCCCCCTCAGGTTTGCAAGAGGAGGAAGAACACTTGTCCTCCTCCCCACCACAGCCACGCTCAGGGTGTGGCACTCGGGGCTGGCTCACACACCAGGCTGGCACAGACCCCAGACCCCAATGCCAGGAACCAAACACACTGCAAGGCAAAGGAAGAAGCTCCACCTGCCAAAACTGAAGGCCACAGGGCAGGATCTCCAGCAGAGACCACCTGTCCACCCCTCCCAGCCCTGCTCACTCCCTGTTTCCAATCTCTGGCCACAGGAACTGGCTCTGTGCATGTGTTTACTGAGCTGAGCCCTGATGACAAGTTTTTCTGTGTGTAAATGAAACTTAAATATGGCTTCATTTTCAAATCTTGGTCTCAAAACACGCTCATAAAAAACTCCCTGAAGACTGAAGAATATGAAGTGATTTGGCAGCCCCAGACTGCACGGAATCCCCTGGAGGATTTCTGTTGCATTTAAATCTGACACCAGAGCCACAGAAATGATGCATTTTATTCTTTGACACCTGGACTCATAACAAAAAAGCATTTATTGATGAAAATTGCTCAGAGGGCAGGGCAGCAGGGCTGCAGGAGGGCAGTCCCTGCCTTCTGCACCACAGACATCCATCACACTTACTTTTTAAAAGCGGGAAAGGATTTGAAATCAGGGGACTTGCGGTTTCTGCAAAAAAGAAAGAGATTTAAATATTGAGACTGGCAGAGACCTCGCTGCATTCTACACAGCTCTGCCTATTTGCTCCCTGGTCCTTATCCCTACTCCACACTTCCAGAGTTATCCAGGGCGGGGCAGGATGGGAGCTCCATTTAACACAAAATCCAACATGTCCAACATGTCCATTTTCTCTCCCTTGCTCAATTTCTCATGGCCAGGGCTCTGCATCTTTCCTGTCCAGTTTAAAATGTCCAGAGATTTTAACACACACCCAATGCTGCAGCAATGGAAACAAGGGGGGAGGCCAGCAAAGAAAAGTCATGGGGCAAGAAACCCCTTAAAAAGGCTTTCTTTGGTGCTCCAGCTGCAAATTCCCAGTTTCACAATGCAGCTCCTTTAAACTAAAGCTGGGAGGGAAAACCAGCGTGTTCCACATTCCCTGGATGCCAAAGGAGAGAGTTCCTAAGCAGTGCAGTTACTTCAGGCTGAGAATGCACATTTCCTACACAGCACACCTTGCAGGTTGCCTTTCTGTAAGGTGTCACTGAAAACTGGGTGCTGGCTGCCCCTTGGACAAGCAGGATTTGTCTGCATCCAGCCCCAGTGCCCTGGAGCAAAGCAGTGATCCCAGCCCCTCTGACCATGTGTGGTTTCCTACAGTCCCCAGGTGAGGTCCTTTAGGGTCAGACCCCGGCAGAGGGGCAGAAATCATTAATTATTAATGTTAAATATTCAGTCATGGACTCAGAGCATTTCCAGAAGGGTCCCAGTCCAAGGCTGTGAGCTGGCACATTCCTGACTGAGGCACCCAGGGCTCTCTGACAGACTTGGCCTGGTTTTCTTGGAAGGAAAACCACCCTCAGGAACTGCATGTGTCAAGCACGGTGAGTCTTCCTGCTAAACAGCCACACGTGCTGAGAACCTGAGCTGCTGAAAAGGGCTCCAGGTGGCAGTGCCAGCTCGTAAGGAATGGAGATGAAGGCGTGGATGATGCTGGGCAAAGACAGGACTGGACAGTGCTGTGGAAAGGGGATGCATGGGAGACACCAGCTCAAATGGAATGCTGCTGATCACTTCACACATTGTGATCAGCCAGCTGTGCTCCACCTGCTCCTGCAGCTGCTGAGCTCTGTACCTGGGGCAAGATCTTCACTGAAACAGGTCCCTAACCTGGTCCTGCTGAGCAGCTGAGCAGGGCAGGCTCCTCCAGGCACCTTTCTCTCTGTGTGCTGGGTCCCTGCTCTGAAATGCCTGCTCCCTCAGGGAACACACGTGCCCATGGCACTGCCCAGAGCTCCAAGCATTGCACGTCAGCTTCTGAGGGGCAAACCCCAACTTCACTGTCCCCTGAGAAGAGAATCTGACCTGGAGCAGGCACAGAGCCCAGCAGTGGCACGTAAAATAACCCAAGGAATTCTCAGAACCACCTCTGGCTGCTTTCCAGCCAGAAGTGCTAACACAGTGTCCTCATGCTGCTTGGCTTCCTACTCACATGGAAAGCACTGTCAGTATGAAACAGCAGTTCAGGTACTCAATACAACACTGGTTTATGTGAAGGAAGACTCTTAAGATTTTTCTGGTCTTCATATTTTTAATTGGAACATTTTTTTAATCCATGCATTGCCAGGTTCCTGTTACAGCACAGTCACTTCCACTAAAGCTACCTATCCAGGTAACAGTCATAGAAATGCCAGAGTTTGACTGATTAATGAATAAATCACCTTGCACTGGGGCTTTGTAATCTTTCCCTCCACAGATTCTCCAGGCAAAATGAGAGTTCAGGTTTTTCTGCCCACACTTTGTTCTCTCAGGGACTTTTCTGGCCCTGCCCTCCCCAGCCCCAGCCCCAGCCCAAGCCCAGTATCTGTGCTTGCAGACTGCAATCCTCAGCCCTATCCCTGGCTGTGTGTCCCAGTTCTGCTGAGTGCTCCTTGCCTCAGTGCTTTCATATGGATTGCCTCACTTCTTCCCTGCTGTCCCAAAGCTCTGGAGCAATTGGCAAGATATCACCCACAGAGACTGGCTGCTGAGTGGTTATTTTAACCCAGATGTATTTCTTCCTGTCTGCAAGTTGCCTGCTGAACAAGAGAAGTCTGGAACAGTTTAAATGAATGTGGCACCAGAAATAAACAGTTCATTCCTAGAAACCTCAATTCCACACAAATGCCCAGGGGACACAGTGACTTATTTATACAACCAAGCAAAGTGACAATTTCTCAGCTGAACCTCTCCCTGTGTGACTCTCATTCTCCTGGTAGGAACTGCACTCAGCTGCTGACCCTCCTTCTGGGCACAGCACTTCAGGCTGCTTTGAAAATGCAGCTCTGTGTGTTTGTGCAATTGTGCTGCCCCATCACCAGCACTCCCTGTGCTGTGCACAGAGTGGGAGCTCACAGAACAACTTCCTCTTCCCCTTTTCCTCACTCCTCAAATTTGGCTATTGGTTCTCTCAACTCCATGGAGACACGTAGCAGTCACAAACCAACCCCAGATGAGAAAGAGAATTACCAGATGAATGTTAATGGAAGTTGTCTTTGTGCTGACAGAGCCTGAGAGGCAGCTGGGTGCACCTCAGGAGGCAGAGGCACAGGGGCTGGCTGTGCTAATGTCTCACTGCAATCAGTAATCAAGAATTATTATGTCCCAAATACTAAAGCCGCACTCACCCACCAAAAATGCCATCCTAAAAGTGCTTTTTCCAGCAGAAACCCCCCCACAGATGGGCTGTGTGATGGCTGGACTACAGGGGGTGAACAAAAGGGGATGTATGGCCACACCAGGGAAGAAAGCTTGTGATTTCTGCAAATCTACATTTAAAATCTAAACCTGTGTCCTTTAAATCTCGACAACAGGGGATTCTCAGGCTTTTCCAAGAAGTTTTACTCTATATTAAATGTAGGAAATCAAATTTTTTTTGTCTCAATCTCATCTCAGCTTGGCACAAACTGATTCAAGAAAAGAAGACATTTCCATTGACCCTCTCCCCAGTCTGGAATAAACAGTGCTGGAAAGCAAAGCTTCCCTGTGTAAATAGGAGTGAAAAGTGCTGACATTTTTAAAACTCTAAATGCTAAAATCTGTTGCACTGGAAGTTCTTACAGTAGTAGTTCCCTAAAGCAACAGATGAAATTGAGACATATTTATACAGCTTAAATCAACCTCGAAAGTTCAAAATATTTCCCAATTCCCTACATAATTTTAACTGTTGTCTTTCACACCGCAACATTGAGCAAATTCAGACTTCAACAAACACTGACAATTTCAATTAGATTTCCCCTTTGATGGCTGTATTTGAAGGTATTGAAACTAAAGAGCTTTTTTCCTCCTTTTTTGTTTTTCTTTTATGTCTTGGTTCTTACAATTCCCTTAATCTCTCTTGGCCTTCATTTCACAGAGGAGTGCCCAGAACAAGGGCTCAAGCTGCATTAGGCTGTAAACACTTGAGTTAGAGATGGTTCTTGTCCCTCAGGATGATCACTGTCTGTGTCTGGAGTCAGAGGAATGGAGACCCCGGGGAGATCCCAAAGCCTGGGAGCCCTGTGGTGACAAAGGGCACCAGAGCAGGACCAGCCCCAGCCAAAGGCTCCTCTCCTACCACACATGGATGAGAAGGCAGTAAGCTTCACTGTGGCACACAACACTCAGCTCAGCCCCTTTCTGGATATTTCCCTACCCATGCTCAGGCTGATCATCACAGCCTTCTACATTGAAGAAGCTAGCCTTGAAATATTGTCTCAAGGCCTCTTGAGAATTTAAAACCCCAGCATGTGTCAAAAGCTGGGAGAACGGCCCCCGCCAGGGAGGGTTCCCTTGAAAGCAGCTTTATGGCACCCTAAGGAATAACAGGTTCTGTTCATCCCAGTGAGCCAATTCCATGCTTCAGGATCAGGTCATGGCACTGCTTTCTGGACCTCCCTTAGCTCAGCAGTGGATGAACAGAAGCTCCGTGTGACTTGGGACCTCTGCTGCCTGTGCTCCCGAGCTGAAGGGAGCAATTGGAACATTTTAGCAGGATGCTATTTTTAAAGCACTGTGGAACTTCCACATTTCATCAAAATGCAAGTTCACGTGGCTGTGGAGACCCTTTCCATGAGTACAAAGAACACTCTCCAATCATAATGTGGATGACAGCTCGAGCCCTTCACCCACATGGGTATTCTCAGAGAGAAACTTAAAGTTTCTAACCAGGCAGAAGCCTGAGAAACTGTTGAGAAGAATGTAAATAAGGTTCTTTATCTCTCTTGTTGTTCACATTGTTTATAGTTAGGTTTTGCTACTGTACATCATTCACTGCACACCAACAGTTTGAGATGTTTTCACTTCAGGACCAATAGAGTTGGTCTGCACGAAGCTCTGTATAAAAGAGCAATGTATTTTAAAATAAACCAGTTATACTCTCAGCCTTCTGAACAGTCTGTTCATTCCTGTCCTGCCTCAACAGCATCACACCCACTCCCTGTCTCCAGCCCACCCTGCTGGGAGACAAAGCTGGGACTCACATCAGGCCCAAAGCAGTGCTTGCCATGCTGCACAGTGCTGTTTTTTGGGCAGCCAGATGCCAGGTACCTGCACTCACTGTGACAAGAACTGGGGCTGTGTGCATAGGGAAGAGACATCTGAAATCCAACATTTTCCATTCTAGTTCCATTCTTATTCCCACTCAGGACTCCCTACAGCACTGCAGCCCCTGTATTTGAGGTGATTTTAGTTACTGACCTCCCTGTTCTGCCCCTCACTGCAGACACCAAGGGGTCTGTGCTGCAACAATCAGGATGGTGACACAGGGAAAAAGCAGAATGTCCCCAGCTGGGTGGCCTAAAAATCTTCTCCTGCTCTCTGGTATCTCTGTATCCAAGCCTGTGACACAAAACTCACACCCACAGACAGCAAGAGCCATCAGGCATTTAACCAGGCCAAGCCACAAAGCTCCTGGCTGCTCATCTGGGACCTACATTTACCTCCCAAACCTGGTGACTATTCCTTACAGCAGCAGTTTGGTGACAAGCAAACAGCAGATGGGAGTGGGAGGACAGAAGTGTCCATCCTTCTGTCATTGCCACCACCTGCTTCCCTGCCTGGGAGAAATCTGCTGGCTGGAGCACAAGAGAAGACAAGCCAATGGTGCCAGAATCACCCCAGAGTTCCCATCCCACATATGACACTGAGCCACACGGGGTTTGTCCCACCCACTGAGACACAGCCATGGAAAGAAGGAAAAGGAGGAGGCAAGGACATGTCAGCTCTTCCAAAAGGCAGCTGCAGAGAGCTCTGCCTGGACAGCTGAGCACACAGAGCTCTCCAGGCCTCTCTGACCACCAGTGACACACACAGCGACTGGTGATGCTCACCCAGGCTGCTGTCAGTGAGGCCACTGGGACTCCTGAGAATTGGAAGGAATAAGAGGAGAAATGGCTTGGTGCAAGGGCTGGAAAAGAGCACTGAATGGGACATGTGGGAAGCAGCACAAAAAATGAACCAAAGGGGGAAAACAAGACTGGGGAAGAAAAGAAGATGCAGGACAGAAAGGAAGGAAAAAGGGAAGAAGTTTATACATCCCCATGTACCAGCCTGCCTTGGAAGAGCATGTTAGCTGCCAAATGCAGAAAGCAATTACCTCCAACCAGAGCCCAACTTCCCTCAGATCAGTTCTGGGCAGCTCACTAGAGTTCCTCAGGTTTCCTGGCTCAATCAGAAGTCTAGGTGAGTACCTTGCAACTCCTCTGCAGCCTGCCAGGCCCTAGACTGAGCCACTAAAGTAAACTGACACTACACCTGGTGCAGACAGAAACATTCTTTACAAGGAAACAAGAGGAGCAAATCACATGAAACTTGCTACTTAGCTGGTAAGAATTTCTGGCTTTGCTTTGGTTTTTGCTGTGAACTTTCACTCATGTGCTTAAAATGTTGCAGCCCAGAAAGAAACAGATTGAGGAGGATGAGTGTGATGTGAGCTGGTAAAAGGAGATGGAAGAGTCTGGGAGATGTGTCACAGCAACAGTGGGTCAGTATTTAATAGTTCAGAAAGAACTGAAGTCTTGGACTGTTCAGTACAGCCACTGTTTGTGTTTCTTGTCAGTGTTTCCTGGACAGGCTCATCTCCCCTCCTGCAGAACTTGACAAGAACAGCCAGCAGGTTTCCAATGCAGCTTTCTTGGCTTCAGGAATGAGCTGTCTGATGGGAAGGAAGCTATTTCTGCCCTTCCTTTGTTGGCTGTACAGGGTTTGACAGGAATAAATTAGGTACAATCTCAGGCTGCTACTTTCCATGGGCTCCAGAGGAGTCAGGGCCCCAAGTAGTGTATTAGCATTTACAGATGTGCACTTTAAGGCTTTGAAACCCTTGAAAACACTGACAGTACCCACATAAGACAAGATACGAGCTGCTGAGAGGCCAGCGCCATGTCCAGGGCTGCAGCCAGGCTGGGAACTCTGGAGTTCAGTGACTACACTGCCTTGAGTCATGGCTGATAGCCACGCTGGGTTGACAGCCCAGGGCCTGGACAGCCCCAAGGACTCCTGACTGTCCAAAAGGAACTGGACTAAGGACCTGAAACAGAGACAAGCTCACCTGATAGGTTCTGCTTACACCTCTTTTCTTTAGGTTTTTCTGTCCCCGAATGACCAGCTGCAATTGTGGTGAATGATGGATTAGTACAGGATTTTTCCTCAAAACACAATACACAGTATTTTAGCAACAAACAACTTTTTTCCCACTCCCCATCACCCACTCTGCTACCACACATGGTTTTCCAACACCACATCCCTGCTTTTAAACATGGTTCCAAAAAGCCCCTTACTTGCTTCTGAGGCAGATAAAACCCCAACAGACACTGTTTAAGCTGCTCCAGGGAGATATCCCACCCCTTACCTGTCCATTCCAGCCAGAGGCACTGCCAACACCACATATTTTGCTTCTCTTGGATGGGGAATGGAGGGAGGCCAGGCTTTTATGCTGGCATGCTATTTATCTCTGCAGCAAGATGCTAAAATTACATTTCATCTGCTCTGTCACTTTTGCTCCAATTAGGGAGCACGGAGAATGGTAGTGGCCCACTGGAAACCCAGGCAATACACAGGCAGGATAAAAACCTTGCAAAGAAAACTATAGCTGGTGGACCTGAACAAAATTGTTTAGGCCTCTGGTTATGTTCAGTCACTACCACATGGACTTAACACTGCAAGGAAACTGCACAAGTGGAGGGGATATTCATTCCTTCTAGCACATGTATTTTGGTCTCACATACACACATCTGATTCACTGTGACCTCCACACAGTGACTGCACAAACAGCTGGACACTGGTCACTGTGACATTTAAATAAACTGTCACGCTCAGCATCACTGTAGCCTGCAAACTGCTCTTCTATCCAGTCCTCAAACTTCTGCTTGCAAATGTCTTTGCTCCACCAGGACTGCACTGATACACAGAAACAGCAGAAGTACTGCTTTATCTCCATCCATCCTTTCTCCACATCTTGGCTCCCCTCTGAAAAATCTATGCTCAAATACCTGGTCCTTGGCAGCAGGAATCCCACATCACCTGTCTGACAGGGCTGGGGTGCCAGGAGCCTGGGGAGGAGGGATAATAAGGCACTACCTCAGGGGGGCTGGCTGCCTGTGAGCTTAAACAAGGTACCCCATAATATGTCAACATTCATTGAGCACAGCTGGATCCTGCTTGAAGAAGAGCATGGAAGCAGCAGGAATGGGTAACCACACTTACCACTGGAGTTCTGGGAATTGCTGTTTGTTTCTTCAAAGTTGTTTTGCACTTTGCCTTCCACTCTTCTGCTGAAAGCACTTTCTGCTGGATGGAGAACAAAGCAGGAATGGTGACTGGTCAACACTGGATGCAGAACCAGGCAGACAGGAGGCAAGACATGCTCTCGTGCCACATAATCACAGACCCTGAATACAGCAGAAAGGTCAAATACCTAATTTTGGAGGCAAATGGGCCAGATTCAGTGAAGGGATAACAGTGGGTATTTTTCTTGAATGCCTTCTGGCTGAGGTGTCCTAGCTTGGCTCTTAGGGAGCCCATGAACACCAGTCCTGACTGAACCAGAAAGGTCATGTCTTCCTCCCCTGGAAAAAAACCCAACCCTTACCTTACTCTTCCTTAAGGCAACAAGCAGCCCTTAATGCCTGTGAGCACAGGTGACCAGTGTGAGACTGAGCTCAGGGCCTCAGCACCACACCAAAGTGTCACCAACAGAAGCACTGTGCCAGCTTCCCTTGTGCCTCCCAGTCACCTGCACTCCCTTCCTAAACACCCTCCTGGAAATGCTGAAGCAGAGGCCTGAAGGGCTGTCTCAGGGCCTGCCCAGCATGTCTGGAAAAGCTGTGGAAGATCCTCTGGCTCTGTGCTTCCCAAGAGTGCCCTTGTTCCCAGAGCCCCCCAGGCCCCGCTCCTGGCAGGGCCCTGCTCTGCCCACTGCAGCACAGCACAGGGCAGCTCCCAGTGACTGCACTGGAGGCTCCTCCAGGGCACTCAGGTGCTCCCTGCCCCTGGCAGTGGCCACAGATCCCTGAAGCATCCCTGCCCAGCACAGCTCGGGGCCTCCCACCCTGCTCAAGCTGTGTCCCTCAGCACCAGCTCAACAGCGCAAGGGGCTCCTGTCTCACTTCACCAGGTCTGCAATATCCAGGCAGATGGACTTCCTGTGGTGGCTCAAAGGATAAACTAGAGATTAAAAAGAAAGGAACTGGCCAAAGCAAGGTGTGTGGCCTGTGCTGCACAGACCCTTGCCCTGCACTCTCATTCTGGAGCCCACTGTCCCCGAGGGGCTCACGTGGATGTGGCCTGGCTTGGCTCTGCTGGACCCAGCCTGCACACTGGGCAGGGCTGGGGACACAAGTCCTTCATTCAGGAGTGATGAGGACTCCTGAAAAATGGCGCCAGACCATGATTTCATTCCTGCAGACCACTGGAGTGGTCAGAACTGCTGTCAGGACTTAGCAGAGGGCCCAGGTCCCTGCAGGCTCCCAGAGCTGCAGCATGGCTCACACACGTAGGCTTTGGGGCTACCAGAGACCTGAACTGCAGGAAGAGCCCAGCCTGTGGATTTTGGCCCAGCCAGACCCTTCCAAGTCCTGAGCAGGCTTCTCAAACTCTCAATCAACTACTGACTCCTAAAATTCAGGAGAACAAGCAAACTTGGTAACCAAATCAACTGAAACAGAAACACATCAAACAGGGATGAAAAGGAACTGGGAATACTTATCTGCCACTTGACAGATAAATTATAATAGAAACAAGTGGCCTTAAATAACAGGAAAATCAGATGGAGACAAAATTGCTTGGGTCAACCTACCCTTCCCAAGAGACCCAGGTTCAAGTCCTGGCTTATGTCACAAGTGGAAGTGAGATGGAGGTCTCCAAAGACCTTTGTAGAGAATTTGCATGGTGGTTTTGCCTTCATCCCTTAGCTTCCCCTGCAAAACCTCCCCCAAGTGTGGCAGTAAGAAAAATCTAGTTTAATGCCCCTGCTTGGTGCCTTCTCACACTGAGAGGGCAGCTCACTCTGTTCTCTCTCCTTGTATTGGAACCTTTTGAATGTGAAGTAGAATTCTCTGTATGAACCAAGTCCTTGGCAGCTGTGGGTATGTATTATCCACAAAATCCATCATTGTTCAGCATCCATGGCCTCTCCCAAAACAGCCTCCTCTCATACTCAGCATCTGTCCATGCCAGACATTCTAGGGGTGTTTAAACACCAACTGATGGACCAGCCCTTCTTCTGCACCCAGATGGAATCTCTATCCATCAATCCCACAGACTTTAGAGGGTGCTTCCCAGTGTACTGCACACGGCACACTATGTTTCACACCCTATTTATTAACTGCTGTTTTTCAGAAGTCTTTGCTTTTTTTTTTAAATTTTTTTAGGCTTGATCTTGTTCAGAAGGAGGAAACTGAGACAATGGAAGGATCAATCCTAATTGCATTTTCTATCTCATCAATAATGGTTCTGTAATACTGATTTTTCTGTTTATCTCTCGGAGGTTCCTGTGGGGAATGGAGCACCATGAAAACACCTGTACTCCATATTCCAAAGGTACAGCCCTGAGAACATCACCTTGAGGGAAACAAACACTAAATGCCAAACTGCTGAAAACCAAGCAAAAATCCCCATTCTTGACAAGCCATTACACCAATCCTTGTCAGGAAGCTCTTCTCAGTTTGTGACACCAGGATTTGAAACAGGGTTTTTTGCACCTTGTGGTTACCACGATGTTTAACAAAAACAACTTGTCACCGGGAAGGGATCATAAAGGATCTAATCCCCTCAACTGCTTCTAGGAGCAGCTTCTCTGGGACAGTCATGGATGGAGCAGACTGAGGCCAGGAAGGGTCAGAAGCCTATCCAGGGCAGGACTGGACAGTGGGCAGCTCAGAAAGCTGAAAGGCAGTCGGTACCTGTGATGGCCTTGCTTCCTGGGGATGCGGAATTGGGAGCGCGGAACATCTGGGACTGGGAGGCGGGCGGGACGCCGGAGGGCGCGCGGTGCAGGAGGCTGGAGCAGCGGTTTATGGACGCCGGGGACTTTTTGCTGGACTGGTTCGTCTGTGTCTTCACTGCCACGAAGAGTGGAGATCGAGAGAACTCTGGATATGAACACTCAGAACTAGTGCCTGCACAGCCAGGGAGCTCCCAGAGCAGGGCCTGCTGGAGCTGCTGATCCACCCAGCCCCTGGGACAGAGCTGGGCTCCCCCCTCGCCCGAGGGGACACTGGGAAAGCTCCTTAGTTCCTTTCCACACCTCTAACTGCCATTAGTTCCCTTCCACACCTCTAACTGCCAGTAGTTCCCTTCCACACCTCTAACTGTGCACGACCAACCCATTCCTGCTCCTGCAGGAATCACCCCATCCATCCAGAAGCACTGTGTGATTGCCACAGCCTGGAGGCACCTGCAGCTCTGGCCTCCATTTGGGAACAGGTTTCTAAACTACTCAGATCTCTGAGTAGAGAGAAGTTAGGATCTTTGTTTCCTGAGCCTTGAATAAATCTTAGTGGTCTCCAGATACATTCCTTGTCTCTTTGACCAAATACAAAGGAAAGTGAACTGTTGGGAATGGAATGGAATTAGGAGGCAGGGTGAATAATGGCTTTAGTCCCATCTCCAGACTGGTGACATGTGGAGAAATTCTGAATATTACTGGGATATGCTCTTTGAATGCATCCATATTTTGGTCTCTGCAGCACACAGTGAGGATCACCAGGAATTGTCAATGCCAAAAGTCATCTGAAACACCTTCAGGACAGCCCTTCGTCTGGGCCACATGGATTAAATAAACCATTATAAAAATGGAGAAACTGTCTAAGAACCTCCTTTACTCCTAAGGAGCCTCTTCTATAGAAAACTGGATATAAGTCCTGAAGCCCCAGTCCTACTCCAACCACCTGTCATGAAAAATCACTAACAAAGCAGGTTCCCACAGTCCCAGCTCCCTGCCAGTGATTTCTACAGTGATACTGTGGGACACCTAAAGGTGGAGGGACAACAGCAGCACCTGCACATCCTACACAGTGTGAGCGAGAAACACTCGTCCACTCTGAGCAGCTCTCAGGGGAATGCCATGGCAGCACGGCTAACTCTGAAAGAGGGGAGAAGTCCCCCAGGCTAGGACAGGACACTCATTTTCAAAATCCCAGGAGACTTTACAGACCTTGACTGTGACTGGCTCTCACCTTCATCAGCAGCACTGGGGACTGGGAGCGTGTACATTCACAGGGGGTTGCAATTCCAGGGGTTTTGATTCACTTGTTCTGACACACAGCCCCAAGCTGACATTTCCTACATGTCAGTTTAGCTCTGCAGGAAATTATGCACTGGTTTTCTCACAGTTTAGTCAGGATAGTTCTCTGCTTGGTCTCCAGCCAGATAAATAGGCAGAAGGCTTGTTTTGCTCTCTATATTTCCTTTCAATCTCCATGGATAATCCTCCTCCAGCTGCTGCCAAACTGCCAGCAAAAATGTAGTCAGATATGAAAATTTCCAGCTTGTGGATCATCTGCTTTCCATGAGGATCATTCCCAGCAATGTCTGCTTTATTCCCCATCAATGCCATGAGAAACAGCCATCAGCAACTCTTCAGTGCCAGATACAAAGAGCATCACTGCACATCCTCTGCAGCCCAGATACTGCTCTGGGACCTGACAACAAAAGTCTCAAAGCTATGATGACCTCCAAAAATTTCTTCTTCCTCCTAAATGAAACAAAGAGTATGTCTTCAAACTGAGACCCCACAGAGAAGGCTGCTCCAGCTGACACTAGGCAGAGAGAGTTTTGAGCAGCAATGCAAGACAGACAAAGGAATATCAGTTCTAGCAGTCTGGAGGAAGCTAACAGTTCATTGGGAAAAGAAAATTCAGTCTGTAGTTCATCAGATGCCAAACTCCCTCGGAAGGCTGAGCAACACAGGTAGAGAGCATCACATGACTCTTCTGCTCTACTCTGGAAAAGTCACCTTCACTGTGGAACTCACAGCCTCAGGCTGTTGAAAAGACCAAGCTGTTTCTTAAAATTAAAATCCTGAGTTGCTGAATGCCCACAAGAAACCTCCTGCTTCAAAATCTGCAGCAAGACTGGAGACAGCACTGTGGGCAGCTGACCTCATAACTGCTGCTGTGGAGCTTCTCAAACCCTCTGAGAAGGCAGCGGAGACCTGTCCCAGTGGAAGTGCAGTGATGTGGAGGGTGACTCTCACTGCATGGTCTGCAGTCAGTCAGCTCAGGACTTTGTGCTGCTGCCCTGCAGCATGGCCCAGGCTGTGCTGAAGGACACACGATGCAGGAGATGCTGAGAACAACGGGGGCTGCAGCCTGGCAGCAGGAGAGCTCGGTCACTGCTGGGCTGGGTCAGCTCGGCTGCAAAGGAGCTCCCAGGGAGACACTGAATAGGCTGAGGTGCTCCTTGGGGAGCAGTCAAGAATTTCCAAGGGGATTAGGAAGGCACTTCTTGACCCACTGCTGGTGCCTGCCCTGCCCAAGGGTGGAGAGCAGACTGGAGAACACTCAGAGGAGGAGACAAGAGGATAACAAAGGGCCAAGAACAGCAGAGCTTACAATGGAAACACAAGTCACTGCTGTGATTTAACCAGGGCCTGGAGAGCAGGCTAGGCCAGGTCTAGAAAGGACAGACACTCAGTAACTTAATCCTCCTTCACTGAGCAGACAAGATTATAAATAGGACCCAGTGCTCAAAGCTGCAGCTGGCTAATTTTAGTCTGAATTTAGTGGAGGCAATAATTCATCAAAATAATTACTTTATGCAATTGCTGCATTTTCTGTCACTCAAAAGCAAGATCAGATGTCTCTCTAAAGCATATCTGTGTGAATTCAATCATGGCAATCCTACAGAATGTGTTTCTCCAGGCAGTCCAGAGATCACAGTGGTCCTTCCTGGCTTTCCTGGTTTTGGGAAAACCTTAAAGTACTGTGATTGGCAAGCTGTGGCAGCAAGAAGAAAATCTGGACCACAAATCCACAAACTACCATGATGCACCACCACAACAGGGACCAGATTGTCTCAGCAACATTATTCCTTCCAGGTAAAAATTCTGGTCAAAAATTTGTGTATGGTATTTCTTTAGAAAGGTCTAGTCAGGATGCATAGGGAACCATTTTGAAGGTTCAGATGGAACTATACCATCATCTATGGATAAAAAACTGAATGTGCTGGAAAGTGATTCCTTAACAATGGCCTGAAATTCCATACTCCGAGCAGATACCTTGGCTGTGGCAAACAGGTCTTTCCAAAGGAAAACCCCTCTGCTCAAACCTATCAAATTTTTAATATGTGTCTTTATACACACGAACAGGTGGAGCCTGTTGCTAAAACACTGTGGGATCAGACTGGGAAAAGCACCTGAACTCAAAGATTTCTCTCACTGAAGTGGAAACAAAGATACACCATCCAACTGGAATCTGGAGTTGGCTTTTTCCTTGTTAGGCAGGTTCTGTGTGGAAACCAACTGTACTACCAAAATGGCAGCTGCCCTAATGAAACACTGCATTGAAGCATTTTGGCTTAATAAATTTGATCCAGTGTGCATCCAATACAGAAGGGAATTGAGCAGCAAGCCTTGATGAACTTCCTTGAGCATCTCAGGTGTCAGGGTGGATGTAGGTCTGTCTGTCCCCTGAAGAGCCAAGAATGATCCCAGGGATGGAAAGACCCATCCCACAGAGCCAGAGCCCATCCCACAGACCCTAAGAGAAGTGAGCAAGGCCCAGAGGTGACAGCCAGCCACATCACGAAGGTCATCAGGAAGTTCATGGCAATGACAGGAATGTGGCCAGGCTGGCAAGTCAATCCACAGGTCAGCAGCAGGATCCGCTCTGGTGAGGTCAACCAGGACCAGTGATCCTCAGCAAGGTGCAGGGTGCCCAGACAGGGTTGACATCAAGGTGAGAATGCAGCTGTGGCTTGGGATACAAACCCATGGGACCCAGAGCCAGGCATGGGCATGTCCACAACTGAACTGAGACCAATATCCTACAGAGCAGCTAAGGCAGGGTGTGTGGATCAAAGCAGGGCTGCAGCAGGAGTGTGGCTGTGGGCACAGTCCCATGTGGGGCTGCTCAGGGCCTTTCAGAGCTCTGAGTACTCTCAGGGCCCTGACATGACTTTAGATTTCCATCCTGGAAGCAGAGCCATGGAGATCTGTGCTGGTTTCACTGCTCTCTCCCCACATTTCCATGACCTAGGAGTCTGAGGCCATATCTGCAGGTACCAGGCAGAGGTGAATGCACACTCCTGAGCCTGACTCACCAAGCTCAATCCCACTCCTGGTGCATTTATAGCCAGTTCACATCCCAAGTGCCTCAGGTTCTCTCAGCACTGCAAACTCATCACAGAGTCACAGAATGACCAATTGCTTTGGGTTGGAAGGGATCTGAAATATCATCTTGTCAATCTCCACTATCCCAGAGTGCTCCAAGCCCCATCCAGCCTGGCCTGGACACTTCCAGGGGCAGCCACAGCTTCTCTGGGCACTCTGTGCCAGGGCCTGCCCACCCAATTCCTAACTAGATACTGGGAATTTCTTCCCAAAATCCCATCTAATCCCATCCTCTAACAGTGTGAAGCCATTTCCCCTGTTCTGTCACTTCATGCTCTGGAACAGTCTCTCTTCATCCTTCTAAACAATTCCAGCAGCCCAGCCCCAGCAAACGTGGTTCTCAGCTCCATCTTTCAAAGCACCCAGAGCCTGAAGGAGGACAGGAACATCACTGAATCCTCCCCCATGAATCTCCATTCAGAAATGTTTCTAAAACTGGGACAATGAATGTGCCTACAATCTACTTTTATTTTTTGGAAACAGCCTCTGACAGCCTTCTTCGAAAGAGTGAATATGTTGACAGAAGCAGCATAAGAATATTATTTTTAGATTCATAGCCCAGTTCTAATCTTATGAAAAAGCTCCTACTCCTCACTCAGAAAAGGGAACTTTGGAAGGAGACATTTGGCATTAACAATTCTAGGGAAGACCACAGCAGAGCTCTTTTGCAGACAGCAGCTATCCAGCTGCTCTGACCAGAAATTATCCTGCAAGATGGTATTGAAGCTGCAGGATATCATTCCTTGTTTTACCCATTTTCAATGACTTTTCATTCATTATGACAGAAAACCAGAAACACAGGCTCTGGAAGGGAAGTTTGCACTCCAGCAGAGACCCAGAAAGCTGAACTGGTGATGCTGAAGGCCTTTCCTCACCCATTTCCACTATGACTGAATTTTCAGCATTTGCCTCATTCTCACAAGAATGAGACCAGGGTAAAGACACAGTCCCAGCTTTACTTTTTCTGACTGCAAGGAACAAAGAAAAGCTAGCTGTGCTTTTCAAAAGTCAGGTGTTAACAGCTGCCTCACAGGACCTTGGATTTTGGGAAGAACAGAGTCTGAGAAGCAGAAAGGTGTGAGGATGTAGTGGCCAGCCTGCCTTGGGAGCTCATCATGCCCTCTCCCATATCTTCATCTGGGTTAGTGGCTTGTCATCATAAATCATAAATCTTACTGGTCATGGGAACTAGGAGAGGAAAAAAGAGGGTTTTTAAAAAAAAAAGGACAAAGAAAAGTTTAGGGGGGGTTTAAACTTTATGAAAATACTATCTTCATCTGATCTTGAGTGTCCACATAGTAAAAGATACTTGAAAGCACTGGAAACCCATCTGCACAGCTCAGGGCCTGCTGATCTAGTCTGCAGCAGGGGCAGCTTCTTTTCTTTTGCTGCAGAAACGACAGTGCAGAACAGCTTCAAGCCCAGCACTCAGAACATGCCTCCTCCTCCTCCAGAAGTGGGGCAGGGCCTGGGGGGGCCACTGGAATTGTAGGGCCCACTGCAGGCACACTCCTCCCAGAGAAACACAGCTGGGGTTTCTTTTCTGCTGGAGAGCCTGGACTGGAACCAGCAGCTCAGCTATTACTACAGCTGGTTGGGAAGGTGGGAGACATCAGTGGCAATAAATGGCCTTGAAATGGGAAGCACTGGGAAGGTAAGAATTAGCTAGGGCTGAGCAAGCCCCAGTGCTCACTGCACACTGCTTCTGGGCACAGACCTCACAGCCCTGCTGTCCAAGGGCCCCTCTATGGCAGGAGATGGACCCACTGCTGGTCACCAATGGCTTTGCTGAGGGCTGAAAACACCTCAGTGAAGAGCTGGAGCTTCCAGGGGCAGGCAACCACAGCAATAACTGCAATGTGTGCAATCATAAGCACTGGGACAGGTGCTTCAGCAGATGACAGATAACAAGATTAGCTTTGTGATGATGATGTTGGGCGTGTATTTTACACCCTGCACCTTCTACCATGGTCTGTATCCAAGCTTTAGAGAACCTGCATGGTACCTGTCAAGAGCCACCAAACCTTAAAAGTGACAGTCTGGTGGACCATGTTCCCATAAACCCAAGGGTGCCTCATTGTAATTCCTTAAAAACCCGATTCCCGGGGATTTCGGGGTGGAAGCGCCCCCTGCCGGCTGCAGCTGCGGGCCGATGAGCTCAGCTCATCCCTCATCCCATCCCTCATCCCATCCCTCATCCTCCTCTCCATCATCCCAAACCCTGGAGCAGCACACCCCGGGCACTCAGCAAAGCTCAGGGCAGTGCTGGGAAGGGAGCAGAAGTTCAGCGGTAAAGAACTTCTCTGCAGACTTTGAAAGTATTCAAATCCAACAGGTAGCAAAAATTTCTCTCAACATGTTTAGTCACATTTTGCACCGAATTACACTGAACTGCTTGTTAAAGCCTCCTCCCCTCTGTGTGGCGAGTTCAGACCACAGTGCTGTCCAGTTTGTTGACAACTACCTTGTCCTGAGCTCCCAGAAATAAATAATTTATTGAGTGTGATCCAGTAGCAAGCTGTTGAGGTCATTTAAGTGATTTTGAAACCAGTTTTAACTCACTGCTTGAAATATTTCTGCAGAAGCTCATAGCAAGATGCTTCTTCTCTAACATGTATATTCAGTTACTATTTAGGGGAGTATAAAAATGTTGTGCATCTCTTTGGTTAAACAAGAGCCTAAACCATCAACCCCACAAGGAACATGTGTAGAATTCCCTGGGCTGGGGTAAGAGCTCAGAGACATTCCAGACCTAACAGTGCCCCTGGGAGAGGGGATCCCAGCTCAGCTTTGCAGTGCTCAGCACACGATCTGTGTCCTGCCCGCTGCAATCCCACAGCTCAGGGGAAGGATCCCAAGAGTGAAGTCTGTCCTGGCAGCCTGGTGCTCCACAGAGCCCGGGAGGTGCCAGGCTGCAGCAGGCCAGCCCTGCAGCAATACTCACTGATGGGGGCGTGCAGAGCCACGTGCTCTTGGTAGGGAGTGTAGTACTTGTACTGCTTGCCACAGAACTCACAGGTGTAATTGCCAGTTTCTGTGAAATGAATAAGGACAAAGGTCAGGAAGGAGACCAGCTCTCTTACACAACCCCCAGTTTCTTTTTACAGAGAACCTGGTCAGGTCACACAAACATTCCTCATGCAGTGGAACTTGCCTGCCCTGTAATCTACACGTCCTTTTTCCAAGAAAGAAAACAGTACAAAACAGAGGGAATGGACCATGCATAAGAAGTCCAGTAGATCTGAACAAGCTTCAGAAGATTACCCCAAAATTACAAGTGTGCAAAAACAAGGGAGAGAATCCATTCTAAAGTCTGTATTGCAGGTGACACAGTTCTGTCCTCTGGTTACAGGTCTGGGATGTGTGGACAACAGTAACAGTCAAACCAGGAAACAAACAGTCAAGTTCAAGTATTAGAGAGCTTTTATTTGGGATTGTGGAGTTCTCTTACAGGAGAAGGGGCTTTTCTGGAGTAACTGTGCTCATTCCTGCTTTGGGGACACTGGAAATAATGGAGTGTAACCACACACTGAGAAGTATAACCTCCTCCTCTTGCCAGTGCTGGGAATACAGAACTGGCAGCATGCAGCAAGACGAAGGAAAATCCATTGATAAACAAATGTTTCCAAAATGGAAAATTCAGGGAAATGCTTTGGCAAAACCTGGTATTCTCTCTGTTTCCCTCTGCTCTGTTTGAGGAGCCACACAAAGGCTATGTGAATGAATCACCTGCCAGCTCTCAGTGCACCTTCAAGCTTTCTCTCATCCCTGCCAGATTGCTTTTCCCCTGAACTCCCCTCCCCTTCTCTTTGCAGAGCTCTTGAGCAGAACGCTTCACAAAGCTGCAGTTCTTAGGGCCAGGGATGTTGGTGTTTGATGCTCCTTTGAGCCTGAGCATACCTGTGAGCACCCAAATCCCAGCCCTGCTGTGTAACACAGTACTTCCTGCTTTCTCTAGAGGTACTGCAGCCAAAGGCAGTGAACCACTGAGCTTTCCTTTTTATTTGAAACAATAATAACTCTTACTTGGCCCAATCTTCTGGAAGGGTTCGGGCTCCTCCTCCTTCACCTCATCGGCAGCGATGACGGCCTGGTCATAGGGGTCTGCAAGAGAACAGAACCAGAAGACAGCTGACAACACCTCAGCTTTGCCTTCTACAGCTGCATGGGCACTGAATGCTCCTGCACCTGTAATCACATTTCCATCTGTAACAGGATTGGAAGACAGGAATGATAAACCAGTGACCCCTCTGTCTGACTTGTCCCTCCTCCTCTTCCTCAGGTGCCCCAGGATTACCCCTGCTCCCAGCCCACTAACAGGTCATGTGGGAATTAATGTTTAAAAAAATGCAGAGAAAAACTGAATGAACACATTGCAAAGTCCGATCCATATTTCCTGATTTTCTTCCAGGGAATCTTCCCTCTAATGCTGCTGAACTGGCTGACAGTGGGCACAGCAATGCAGTCTGCAGGCACATCACCTATCAAATACCAACCTGGGACTTCTAGCAGCTAACAGCACAGCTAGCAACAAATCACAACCCAACCCACTTTAGAGGAGAATTTGGTGTATGCCTTTAACAATTTACAAGATCACTACAGACATGAAACACCTGCTTCTTCAATTGTCGGAAGCCTGACCAAGTGTATGTGCAACAAAAGCCTGGTATCTGCTAGGGCTGGGCATCAACCTACTGGCTGTAGGGAGAGAGGATGCTCCCTATCCCACTGCAATCCCTGACAAAACTCCTTTGACTCTTACAAGTTCAGAATCGACCTGCTGTGTCTGAACTACTGAATGCTTGAAAAGGTTTGTGAAATAAAGCACACAAAGGAGCTCAGCTTACCTGCCCGGTTTTCTGGGGCCCCTTCCACACTAAAAACTAACACAGAATAGAAGAAGGAGGGGAAGAAACAAAACAGAAATTAAATCCTCTTAAATGGTCTTGTTTTCCTCCTGCATTTCACATACTGCTGCAGCACATTTCAGCCCCACTGAACAAACCAGGCTTTGTGCCCCAGTCCCTCCTCTTCCCAGCAGCATCCTCACAGGACCTGGTTGAGCATGCCCAGCCCTAATACACACAGATGCTCGAGGCCTTTGTTCTGACCCTGACACAGCCCCAGGTAGAGTTCAGGTGCGCAGCTGCCTCACCCCCTGCAGGTGCTGGAGCACAGCAGCCCCAGGGAGGAGCTGGGACAGTCCTTGCACACACATAGAACCCTTTCCAAGCTCTCTCCTCAGCAGAGCTCCCTGAGACATTTCTGACTGAAGCAGCCACATTCCCCTCACAGTGACTGTCAGTGCCACTAATTTTCTTCTGCTCCCCACAGGAGGAAGGGAGCTGGCAGTGGTGCCCTGCAGGAGAGCACTGGCTGTCCTTAGAGCACATTCAGACGTCCACACTTTCCAGGTAAACACAACCATTTTTTTGGACAACCATGTATTGTGAAAAAACACTTGCTTTTCTGAGACAGCCCAGCCATTCAAAACCTGCTGCTCACCAAGCAGCCTCTTTCTAGAGCTCTCCTTGACCAAGTGAGGAGCAGTACTGCCAGGCTTGCACACACAGAGATGGTCTAGAGTATCTGTGGGCTCCGAGGTGAGGAGCTTCAGCTATTCAGTAAGCAGAGGGCAAACCAGCATGTTGATACTTCATTTTCCCCAACACAGAATAAAGAAACACTGCTTCTGGCAGTGGGTATCTGCTTCTGTCTAGGTGTCACCAGCCTAAGATGCATCTATAGTCACCCTTTAAGGGCCACTGACAACTTCAACGTTTCACTACCACAGTCATTAACAAGAATGAAAGTTCCCGACTCTGAAATCTGAAATACTTCACAGAGAAGTATGCTGGGAACAAACCTGTAAATTCTGACACCAAAAAGCAACCAACTTCTTCCCTGCAAATAATCAGGCTGACTATTTTCCTTGAGGTACTCAGTCCCAGGATCTCCATGCTAACCATGAACCTCACTGCAGACACACTGCAAGGTCCCCTGGTCCCAGCACAGGTGCTGTTTTTATGCACACAGAGAGAATCAGGCACAGCAAACTCCTTCCTGCAGTGCCTGTATACTGTGCCTCCATGGCAAAGACAGGCAACACATGCAGTGCCACATCCTGTACACCACGGGCCACACGCTCCTGCAGAGCCATATTTTGCTTCCCCTAAGACTTGTCAGCCTAGTTCAGGTGTCTGAGTGTCAAAACATTACTCACCATCCACGGCATGTAGGTCTCTGTGCTCTTGGAAGCAGCTATAGTATTTATATTTTTTCCCACAGATGTCACACGTGTACCTAAAATTGTCTGTAGGAAGAAGAAAACAGACCAGTTTAGAAACTCTGAGGTGAAAGGCAAGCACTGCAACCAGACTGCTCAATGAGACACCCCCATGCACTGACACATCCCACATGCTCTGTCAGGCCTCTAAGCCACACAGACAACCACTGCCTCACATTGTTCCCCCTGCCCCACACTACATGGCTTGGGGCATATTGTGATTTATTTTCTCTTCAGACAGCTCTGCTCTCCAGAGCAGAACCCACAGACCTCACAGCGATGAGGATGCAGGGCAGCAGACCCTGCTGGCATCTCCTTTAGAAGTTAAGGGCTCAGCAAGTTCAGGGACAAGCAGCTGTTGGTCAGGATGGGGACAAAAGGGCAGAACTAAGCACAGAGCCAATGTATGAGCTGATAGAAACCAAATCCTTAAAACATCAACTCTAACGTGGACTGGATGTGAGCACACTCCTGCTTCTCACTGCTGCTCTTTACTGACTCTCAACTGCACCCAGGATCCTGTCAGAAGCAACAAACCCAGGAGACCCAACAATCCAAGGCACGCAGGACAGGAAGGTGCTCAGTGAAGGGAGGGCTTATGAAGCCTGGTTTCATATCCATTTGTTCCCTACACCCCATCACTTCATCTCAGCATCAACCAACCCTTCACCACAGCTGCGGGGCGCAGACAGATGTAAAACAGCTCCATGTGTTTATGAATCTCGTTTGTTCTGAATGGGGATTAGTATCTCTAGTTCAGCTATCACATCAGGAGGAGGATGTGATGGAGAAGGATTTCCTGGTCAGCTTGGTGACTCTGCTGCCTGACACACCCTGGGGTGCCTTTCCTGAGCAGTCACCCCACCTGTCAGACGACCCCAGGCCAATGGCTTGGTGCTATGAGCCCACAGCAAAGTGGCAAACATAAGAAAGTCCACAGCAAACACATCAGTTTATACAGCCATAAAGGATCTTGGAACCAGCAGGAGCAAGGAGTGCAGGCAGCAGCTCCCAGGGCTCCACAGAGGACCTGCCATTCAGTGAGTTCCCCTGCAGCACCCTAGCTGTATCCATGTGTCCCTACTATCAGCAACGTTAAAGCTTTGTTTTCACCTCTTCCATGCTGTGTTCAAACACAACAGACTGTGCACATTAAGGAAGCTTTTCATTTTACTTCTCCATCACTTTACTTTTAAAATTACTCCATATTTTAAGCTATGATATATTGGTACAGTGTAATCCCTCACTTTGGTTCACTGCTCAGTTCAGCAGCACATGGGGTTCAGCACTAAATAAAGGATCACTGTCACCATTTATTCAGAGTGACTGTAGAAGCTATGATGATCTAGCAGAGAAAACTGCCAAATCTAAATGGTGTTAAACATCTGGGCACTGGAAGTTTACCTCTGTGACTAAAAAATATTTGTATCTTAATCAGAGCACAGCAGGACTAAACTAGAGTTAAGGGGTTTTTAGAAGTCTAAGCTGGACAAGCAAGGAGAAAGGGACTGTTGCACAGACAATGCATGGCTTGAGGGAGAGGAGGAGCAGCAAAACACACCTGTAAGAACACAGTGCAAGTCACATTTAACTGTGTTTGTTCCATTATGTGATCTTGTGCCTGCTCCTTGTGTGGTCACAAAACGGTGCTGAGGGCCTCCCTCTACCCTGGACCCTCTCCCACAATGAACAGATCAATGATTACTGCTGGGTATCTGTGTAGCTGTTGCAAAACCCCGCAGACAATTAGCACAGTCAATTAGCAAGTCAAGTAGCAGAGAAACTCCTAACTTGGCATCAGTCTCACCTCAATGGGTGTTCCCAAACCAAGGCACCAACCTCCTTTTTGAAGTGCAATGAGCTCTACAGGACCAACTGAAGAATAACTCTTCAAAGGAGTCCCAAAGACCAGGAACTTTCACATTCAGAGAACAAAAACTATTATGGCCTTAGTTTGGAAGAAAAGAGCTCAGTAAATTAGAAGACTTGTTAGAACAGAAGAAAACTAGCTAACACACCATTTCACAGGGCCAGGCAGGGCTACCTGTGGTCCCTGTCACACAGGGGGATCTTACTGACTCCAGCAGAGCCCATTCTGGGTGTGGGCACTGCTTCCCTTGGCAGTGCAGGGAGCATGGAACATGTAACAAGTAGAGCAGCATAGCTCCAGGGAACAGGGTTTACTAGTGTCCTCAGGGGACTGTTCCCACAGGCAGAAGGATCTCCAGGGATTATAGAGCAGTAGGAATTTGTTCCAGCTGGTCCAACTTGCCACTGATCTCCTGGGCTCTGTGAGAGAGAACACTCAGCAAAGAGTGACCAGCCTCAGAGACAGGAGCTTTACAGAGAATTCACAAAGAGATGCCCATGTGCAGCCAAGCTTTACCTCTCTGAAGAGCAGTCCCTGTTGAGGCTGCTTCCAAGAGCCAGACCCCCTCCTCCTTACCCGGTACAGCCATCTCTTCTGACAGCCTTCCAACACACCCAGTGCTGGCCCCAGCAGACACTGCTTTCTGAGCAAGAAACACCCTGGGCAGAACTAGGCCTGCAGTACCACCTAGAATCACAGAGTCTCCTGGGGTGGAAGGGACCCACAAGGATCAGACATCCCAACAATCTCAGAGCATTGTCCAAATGCTTCTTGAGCTTTGTCAGACTGTGCCCCCAGGGAACCCATTCCAGAGCAGTTTTCCTGCTGTAGGTTACAACTCCTACCCCAAGGTATCCAGCTGTGGCACAGTAGCCAGTACCTGTAACACAGCTTGCCATGGGAAGAGCTGCAAGGGACTCCAGGTGCTCAGATGTGGCTGCAAACCCACACTGAAACCCACCCCTAAACCTCTGCAGAGGTGGATCCAGACAGCTAACGCTACCTAGGCCAGTTTGCTCGGATTCAAAGCCTGCTGTCATCAGGGGCTGCACTTTAAGGCTCTACCCAAAGCACAACCACACCAGCTGGCACTATTAGGGCAGGGAAAAACACTCCTCAGCTCCCCAGCACATGGGGTCAGTGCTGGCCCTTACTTGCGTTCACATCTTTGTTGCCAGCTGAGCAATGACCCTGCTGCAAACACAGACCTTCAAAATGCTCCAAAGACATCTGCTCAAGCCCCAGACTCAAGTATCATTCTCCTTCATGCTCAGAAGTCTTTCCAACAGGAGCAGGGATTCCTGAGAGAGGTCTAGTGAGTACCAGCTGTACTTATTTAGTCAGCTCACAATTCATCTTTAATACACAGGCACCTTAATAAACTTTAATAGAGCACCCTATCTTGCTAGTAGTAGAAAAGGCAAGGCACAGCCTCATTACAAGGCAGCTCCTCAGCTATGAAGCACTGGCACACTCAGATGGCAGATGGGCAGGTTTTTCATGTACCCCAAGAAATAACTCCACGGGGCCTGAAAGAAGTTTTGACTACTCTGCTTGTAAGTGGACCCCAATAATGGAGAGAGAATGAGCTGCTCTTCTGTCCCATCTCCAGGAGCTGCTGCCAGCTGTGCCTCTGGTGGTGTGTCCAGCACTCCCTGGGACTGGCTGAACCCCCTGCTCCAGGGCTGAGCTCAGTTCTCTTCCCAGATCCTGTATTAAAGATTTGGAGAATTTTTGTTGGTTTAATTCACATATTCCCCAGAGAAGGAAGTACATATTTCATTTTGGCAGGAAAGAGAAGGCAGAGAACACATGCTCACCAGTGGCAGCCAAAAAAAGACACTTCTTTCCTTAGGACACTTGGCCTCAGTGGATTTTGCATTAGAAATCCAGGAAGAGCAATCAGAAATGTGTTGAAAGGTCAGGAGCTCTGTATCACTAAAAATACACTAGAAATACAGATCACCTAACTCACCCTCCTAAGTGCAGGAGTACCACAAAAGCTGGGAACAAACTGATTCCCACTGGGCTCCAAGAGTTCTCCACAGCATCCCAGAAACCCAGACTGGAAACAGTCCCATCCAGCTGACATCACTGCAGTGCTGCCAGCACAGCCCACAAAGGGTCCCAAACGATGGGCTCTCCCCACAGCAGCTGCAGGAGCTCCTCAAGGACTTGTCCAAGGTGAAGAACATTTTCCACCTGGCCCAGAATTCACACTGAGCTTTCAAATGGCAGAAGCCACAAATTGTACTTGATAGAGGAGCTCTCTCAGCAACTGGCACTCTGCAGACACCCTGGAATCCTATTGATCCTATTCCTGCAGAGCACTACAGGAACAGCTGTCTAGCAGGGACAGTCTCCACATGTGGAAGGGCAAAACTGCTGAATGTAAATGGATCACAACAGCCTGCTAAATTCTTCCTAAAATCCAGAAGTGCTGCAGGTCGCAGTCAGGATAAAATCAGGAAGATCAGAAAAGGGCAGTCTGGACAGCCTGCCAGCAGTCTGGTGGCTCCTTTGCACCAGCAGGTTTGGGAACGGCAAAGGAAGCCCCTAATACAAGGAATTCTTTCTATATCATACATTCTATGACAATTCCACATTCCTCATTCACCTTGGCAAACAAAACTTCCCAAACATAAAGCCCAGGAGTACTTCTTAAAGTGGAAGGAAGGGCTGGATTTCTTACAGCTGCAATACAGCTACATCACCTCTCTATCTGAGGCTGTGATGTTTCTGACCCCCAATGGGTCAGAATGGGGTTTAAGTGACCACAAAGGATCAGCATCATCTCTCCAGCTTTGGCCAATGAATCACAGGACAGTCAGTGACATGCTCTGATCCTTGGTTTCACATTCCTTGTTTCCTGAAAATCTGCTGGCAGATGCTCAAGTCCTGCTGGTGAGAAACCCAGAGGGCTGGAGCTGGGGAATGGCTCTGTGGCAGTACCTGGAAAATGCATCACCTTTCTGCCTCACTGGAAGGAACCATGAGCAACACCAGCACTCTTCAGGAAGAGCCAGTCCCCAGGACTAATCCACCTGACACAAAGAAACAGGAAAGGATGGCATTTTCTGAGGAGCATGCTGCATGCTTCCCACTGGGAAACACCATTCCAAGCTGTGTCCAAGCCACACTCTACCTGAGCAGCCTCCCTGGAAGGGAGTGTAGGTGTCTCACACCCTGCAGAGTGCAGCTAATGCTTCCTTACAACACATCAGGGAAAAAACAAAACATCTGGGACCCTCACTTGTTTCTGTGGATTCCACCCAGGGCAGCACAAAGACAGCTCTGGAGAGAGGCTTCTTCTCCCTTTCCGCAGCCAGAGGGGCACCTAGATGGAAAGGAACACATTTATGGCGTCCTAAGCTGGCAGAACATTCCCCGCGCAGGCTCACAGACAATTCCTTTGACCTGAGCCTTTGGCATTTTGAGGATTCCTTCTAGACTGGCAGTGAGGAGAGGCAGAGTCAGGGCTGCAGACAGAAGCACAGACCCCCCCTCTCCTCCCCACTGGAAATGTGCCTTGCACACAGGTTACACATTTACAGAGGCATTTTACGGCCAGGGACAGAGCTGCCAGTAAAATCAGCTTCAATTTACATCAGAACTCCACTTAAAGGTGTCTAATGGCAAAATTCCTTGAAAAGGGAGCAGGACTGAACCCAAAGTCAGCAGCAAACCCTTAAGAGGATTAAAGTACCTAGAGTTACATTAGTAAGGATTAAATAATAATAAAATCCAGAATTCTGGAAAGGACAGAAACCCTCTCACACAAAGGCACAAGCCAGATCCTAAATGGGAGTAAGGAAAAAAATTTTCCCTGTGGGCAAACTATTCCAAGACCACTCAGTTCACAATAATTTACTTCCTTCCCACAAACATTTGGCCTCTGTCAGGAACACAGGAGACATCAAGGAATACACTGGATTAACACTGTGCTTCCCATGCTGCACACAGGGGCCAGATGCCAAGCCAGGAATAATCCCAAACTCTCACAGGGAGGGGCCAAATCCCCTGAAATTACCCAGAAATTGGTGCCAGGTGCTGGCTCACCTTCCAGCTGGCAAGGGGCCAAATGACAGGTGAGAGGGCATGGAGCCACAGGCTCGTGCTTGCCTTCTCCATGAAGGATTCCAGGGCCATTCCAGCTCCTGAGAAGAGCTGCTAGAGGTGCAGTCAGGGGCTACAGGACTGAATTCACCTCACAGCAATTTTTAAGCTTTCAAGTCACTGACCAGAGGAATCTATATATTCTGTGGTACTTTGTTGAAACCATGTGTCAGCTGAGTGTATCACAATGGAGATTTCAATGCACACCATCCAGGCCTGGATGTACCAGGTTTGGAAAATTGATGCCAGACTACCAGGAATTTACCTGCAGAAGGGAATAGTTTGGTTTAATTTCTGAAAGAATGAACCCTTGTTCAGAATAGTCTGATGGTCACAATCTCTATTATTTAAAAAAAAAAATGTTTTGGGGAAATGGTGTTTTGGACACTACTCACTGGATACTGAGAGACATTATCAGGATGTTACACATCAAAGAATTTTCTTCTCCCTCAGTTAGACATATGCTCAGGTTGAACCCAAACAGCAAATTTCAGCCATTTAAAGCAAAAGTATTAATATTTTACAATTAACAAATCAGCATTGTGGAGCAGGATATTGAGGATCCATGATAGAATTCAGACACATGAGACAATGTAACAACACAGGCAGATCCTGTCTCATCCTGCCTCGCTCTGGTGTCACTTCAGGGCAGGTTCTTTTTTTGTAAGTTCAAAGTGTAAATAAATATAAGATAAAGAATGGTCGAATCAGTTTCTTAAGGTATTTCTCCCAGCAATCTGACAATGAACTACCTCAATTTGCACATTTAAAAGAATAGGTGCACTTGAACCTACATAACCTGTAAATGAGGAAAGATTAATCTTTCTATCAACAAGGATCTGAAGTTCTATTTCAAGTGAAAAAGTCCATTCAGCCCACACTGTGGAGTTCTGCATAACACACAATAAAGACAATTTTATTTTAAAGCCCCTTCTGGAGTAAAAATGGTTTGGCTGGGAACACACCATTCATCTGTCTCACAACTCCTTGGATTAAATGATGTAGCACTGAGAGTTTCATAGAAGAAAAGCAAATCTCTCCTGACTTTTTCCTACTCATATGTCCAGGACTAGAAATTATGTTCTTACTGTGATTTCCAGATGGGAACTCACATGGTTTCCAAAGTGGAAAGAAGTGGTGCTAGTTAAATGACTGAGCAGCTTTGAAGAAGAGATCCTGACTCCATAAAACCTCTTAATGAACAAAATGAAATTAAATTAGGCCAGGGGGATGCAGGACCCTCCCCCCCACAATCACCTGGGGAAATTAAGAACACAACCCGGCTTAGGCTGAAAGGAGAAGGTGGAGGGAAGGTGATCCCTGTATTCCTCTGCCTTTCTAGTTTATGAAGATCCTTAGGAGAGAAGCTACTGAAAATTAAAATACTGAAAATACTGACGTGTATGGGTTTTTTTGCTATTCAGGTTCAATATTGCTGAGATGTCAACCAGCAGCTGAACAGAAAAAGGTCAGGCTGAAAAAAGAATTTAGAATAATCCCTGGCATGACTGTTGTGCACCTTTTCTATTGCTAAATTCCAAAACACATTGGAAGATGGAAAGTGCATCCCTCACTGGATATATCAGAGATGTGTTTCTGCCTTCACTAAAACTCTCCTGGTATCTTGAGGACAAACTGAGGGAGGACCAGAACAGTCTGGGATTACTAAAATTCTTACCCTCCTTTTATTGAAATAAATATATTTATAATTTTCCTGCCTAGGAAGTCTGTTAAGAGATTTGTTTCCAAATATTAACATCCAGATTTCTGCAAACATGGTCTATTAGGGCAACATCTGAGAAAGAATTGCATATTAGCAATTTTCTATATAAAATCATCTGAAGATCGCAGAATTTTAGACAACTTGAAAGCCTCCTCTTCTAAAATCTGTGATTAAAACTAACCAGAGAAACACTGCTCCTCTCCAGAGCTATGGAACTGCAGGACTTGCAGAACATTACACCCTCCAGCATGTGTCCTGTTCCTGAGTACATCTTTACAGCTTGGATGGAAACACACTGGATATCCAGGAACTGTTCCCTATCTCACCCACCTCAGACAGAGGACAGGTCACAGAATTACAAAATATTCTGGGTTACAAGGGACCCACAGGGATCACCCAGCCCACCCCTGTCCCTGCCCAGACCCCCCAAAATCCCACCCTGACCATCCCTGGCAGCACTGGCCAAAGGCTCCTGGAGCTCTGGCAGCCTCGGGGCCGTGCCCATTCCCTGGGCAGCCTGGGCAGTGCCAGCACCTCTGGGGGAAGAACCTTTCCCTGAGCTCCAGCCTGACCATCCCCATATCCTGGGGTAAATATCTCCAATATCCTGAGGTTTAAACTCAAAATTTCTTCACACTGAAAATCTCTGAACTAAGTTTCTTATTATTTTCTTAATTCCCCGTCCTGCACTGAAATTTATCACCCTTGGTCTCAGCCCATTGGTCACTTACATGTGCAGATCTTGTTTAGCAAATGGGAATCTAAAGAGACTTTGCCTACTTAAAATGCAAACACATTAGGAAAACAAAATCCATTTTTACAGTTCTCCCTGAGGAGCAGGAGAATTATTAAATAAGAGGACTGGGAAAATGAATCAGTCAGTTGTAAATGATTCATGGGTCATCATGGTGGCTGCACGTGGGTGTGCACACATACAGCATCCACTGTATCACACTTTTCACTGGGGAAGCGTCAGCGAGCACAACAAAGCAACACCCTGGGCTTTGCTCTGCTACCCTCCAGAAAAGAAAAAGAAATCAAAAGTTACATTTACTTTAAGGAAACATTTATGTTGCAAATTAATCAAGAAACAGAGATGCTAAAGGTCCTTCCTCAACCATAAATTAACACCAGCAAACCACCTCCGCATCTTCCTATCCCTGTCAAACTTTACAAACATCATATCCTGTATGAGTAAGGTGTGGGCAAGAAAACCTTAATTTTGACTATATTAATTTCATGATTTAAATTCACAGCCCTCCAAATGTTTTTGCACATGCAAGGCGTTAGCACTGTGCCTCCACAGTTAACATTTGCAAGGCATATTCCAGCCTACATCCCTGCTTCTAACCTTTCAATCCTCTTCCAAATAAATTCCTTCTCAGGCTGAACTTTCTCACACTTAGTCAGAGCCCAAAGGGGAATATGTTTTTAAAATATCAGATCAATCTTTTTTATTTATGGGGTTCAGAAATATTTACTGAATATTCCATCTTGGAAAAAGAAATTGTGCCACTTCCTTTTTTTTCCTCACTATAACTGCAGTGGAGACACACATGGATGTACACCTGTGCCCAGGTGGTGAGTGTGAGGGCATCTGGCTGAGAAACTGGAAAGGAAAATGTTCTCTTTGCTGCCTACAACATCCTTAGACCCAGTGAACATCAGTGACCCCCTCCCACCAACTGTCCTGTCTTAGCCCAGCACCCAGATACACCAAGTAAGTAAGTATGAGCAGCTACAAATGGGGAAGAAGAAAGTAAATTAAGGGTGTATTTATATCAAATATATATTTTATTAAATTTTTAAAAGTATGGCTTCTGAAGATCATTGTGGCACCTCTTGCCATCCTATTTATCCTTAAAAACAGTTCTTTTTAACCCTGTGGCATCCCTGCCTTCCTTGGGATTTGCTCCTGAGCTGCCCATCAAATCAGACTGCATGGTGACATTGTCTGACAAATTCCAATGACCACATTTTGCTTCTGCTACAGCCTGAGGGTGGTCTGAAACACCTGGATATATCCTCACCTGTGAGACGGTATTTATGATTTTCAAAAATTTCTTCCAAGCAAGGAAAAGGGGCTCAACACAACAGAAAAGGCAAGAGACACAAAGAAAAATCAGGCTGTGTTATTTGGGATCAGCAGGGATTTTGTGGGATGTGGCCCAGGAGTTATCAGTCTGTGGGGCTGGTCACAGTGAGCATTAACGTTCTCTGACAGCTGCTCCTGTTTATGCCAGGATTTCAGGCACGGGAGGAGGAGGCTGTCAGGGATGCTCTGGGCTTACAGACAGGCTCTGTATGCTGGGCTCTGGAGCATCTCCCAAAATGGGGAGGTCACTGGAGAGCTGTGCAGGATTAACCTGTTGGCAGGCTCAGCACTGGGATCTGCTTTTGAGGAACAGCACAAAATCCGGCTGTGCTTCTTGAACATAACTGCAGGTACATAGAAGCAGGAAACGGAAACAGAAGAGCCGGGATCTACCAGCAAACAC